GAGCTGCTACGTCTTCTCCCAGGACTGGGCGCTCGCGTCGCGCTTCCAGTACGGCACGACGTCCGGCTCCTTCGTCGTCAACGACGTTCTCGTGCAGGGCTCGAACCACGCGCTGCCCTTCGGGGGCGTCGGGCCCTCGGGCATGGGCGCGTACCACGGCGAGCACTCCTTCAGGGCGCACTCGCACCAGAAGGCCGTGCTCTACAAGACGCCCTACCTCGACCTCGACGCGCGCTACCCGCCCTACTCGCCCCTGCGCGCCTGGACGCTCGGCACGGTCCAGGCCGTCCGCTCCGCGAACGCGATCCTCGCCGTCCAGCTCGGCCTCTTCGCCGTCGCCGCCGCGGGGCTCTGGGCCGCGTGCCCGGCCCTCGGCGAGGAGCTCGCCCTCCTCCTCGCCTACCTCCGGTCCCGCGCCGAGGCGCGCCTCTGATGCGGCCGGGGTGCGTTCTCCCTAAACGCCGCTCCGACCTTTGCACTTCTAGAGAGGAGCGAGAGCACGACCGGGAGGACTCCGGGGAATCGGATCACTTGCCTGGTGGCCCCTCCACGTGTGAAACAAGCAACACACAAGTTTTTATGCACAACACAAACCCGACATCAGATCCGCGCGATGGGCTCCGCCTCGACGGCGCCGGCCTCGACCGGGACGTCCCCCCCGCCGCCTTCCTTCGGGCTCCGCGGCGTGACCAGCCCCGACAGCGAGCGGCGGACGTCGAGGAGGCCGCGCCGCGAGTTCCGGGAGCAGGAGCGCAAGTCGTCGCCGCTAAAGTTGGCCACGATGATCAGCCAGACCGCGACCAGAAGCGTGGACGCGAGGAGCACGACGAGGAGGCTCGCGAACACCTTGCCCGAGAAGACACCGTCGTGCTGCCCGAGATTGTCCGTCGCGAACACCATCATCGCGTAGAAGAAGACGAGGACGAGCTCCGTCTGCGCGACCTCCGAGACGACGCCGTCGTCCTCCTCGACGTAGGGCTCGTAGTGGCTGAAGACGCGGTAGGAGATGAGGCTGCCGAGGAGCCCGATGGCGATCTGGGAGATGGAATCGGGCACGAACATGGACAGGCACCCCGTGAGGAAGATGCGGCGGGAGACCTCGTAGACCATGAACATGAAGCAGCTCGGTTTGAACTCCTCGTAGAGGAACCGCATGCTCTCCAGCGTCGGGTCGTTCGCCCGCGCCTCGAGCTTCTGGAACTGGACCATCGATTCCGCGTGCCGCTCGAGCGCCTCGTGAAGGAAGTCCTCGTCCTCCTGGTTCGCCGCGTGGGCTCCCGCTTCGCCGATGGTCCGTCCTGAAGGCGTTCGAACCGTTTGCGGGCGCACGTCGGGGTTCAGCCGCCGCCGCAGCCGCCAGAGCAGGCACGCGAAGCCGAGGGGCACGCCGACGGGGTAGGCGAGGATCGAGAACAGCACGTAGGGCAGCCACGCCTCGTACGACGGGCTGTCGCAGCTGATCGTCGGGTCGATGCGCAGCACGTTGACGCCGTCGCCGTAGCCGCCGTCGTACTTGGCGCACGCGAAGTACCGCAGACAGTACGACGACGTCGAGGGCACGAGGACGTAGAGCGTGAAGAGGACCCAATAGGAAGCCCTGGAGAGGATCGCACCCCGCCGCGACCGATCCACGCACGCATAACGCAGCCCGAATCCGACCGCGATCAACGTGACGAAGACGACGGGGAGCAGGGTCACGAAGAGGAGCTTGCGGAAATAATTGAACTGGCCGAAGCACTCCGTTTTGGCGAAGCTGATGAAGCTTAGATTCACGACGGATCCAAGCTTCAGGGCCTCTTCGAAGATGGCGGGGAAGCGCACTTGCGGGAGCGACCACGGGATGCTGCACGCGATCTGGTACGTCGCGATGACGATCTTCGCTTTCGTCATGACGTTCTGCTTCATGGACCGTCCCGACGCCTCGTCGTCCTCGGCGCTGTGTGTGTCGCTGCCGGCGCCCTCTCCGTCTTCATCATGTTCGTAATACTCCTCAAGCTTTTCCCGCAAGACCATTTCGGCTGCATCGCCCTTGATACCGCCGTGAATGACAGCGCGAATTGTTTCGACCCCGTGACCCAAAACGGTGAAGAAGCCAAACTTGCGCATCGCAACGACGAGGCACGCGCCGACAAATAGGACGGCCAGCACGGTCCCGATGATGTTGTCCCCGCGGGCCTCGATCTTGTTGCCGCAGTCCACGCAGCGGTTCGCGGCCGTGTCGTAGAAGTAGTGGGCCTCGCACGCGCCGCAGAGCGGGCCCTTGTGGCCGCGCGCGCACGAGCTGTTGGCTCCGCCCTTGCACGACCCGTCGAGAATGCATTCGTAGATCGACGTCGCGTCGATCGACGCGCGCCAGAAATTTTTCTTCAGGTCCATCGTCTCCAAGGTCGTGCGCGCGCCCTGGGGACAGGTCGCGCACGTCTCGACGCCGCCTTCGCACGCGTCGTCGCACTCGACGCAGCACTCCTTGCACTGCAGCGGCTGTCCGTTTTCGTCAAGGAGCTTCTCCTCGGCGTGCTTGGCGTACCTTCTCGAGTCCCAGTAGTAGGCCTCGCGGCACGCGTCGCAGTAGGTCTTGCATGAGGTGATATTAACAATTTCATGTTCGGCACAACCGTGCACCCGGTCAGGGCAATGGCCGTTTTTGCGATGGCCCGTGCGCGCGAACGCGGCCGTCCCTATTCACGAAAACTTTAATCAGGGACGACGTCGAGGTGCTGGACGAGGCGCGTCTTCCAGTTCCGCGCGTCCGTGTGCGTCGCCGCGTGCCGCGACAGCGCGACGGGCTCGAACCGCACATCGGGCAGCGCGCCGCGGAAGGCCGCGGCGCCCGCGCGGAGCGGGTTCGTCGCGCAGAGCACGTGCGAGCCGCGCGCGCGCGCCTCGAGGACCCGCGCGGCGACGGCCTCCGCGAGGCTCTCTTCGTAGGTGAGGTCCGCGAAGGCGACGACGTCCGCCGGCGGGAGCGGCGCCGCACTCGCGACGTCGAAGCTCTCCACCTCCACCGCGAGGCCCTGGTCCTCGGCGGCGGCGGCGACGAGGCGCAGCGGGACCGGGTTCACGTCCGCGGCGACGACGCGTTTCGCGCCCGCGCGGGCCGCGGCGAGCGCGACGACGCCGCAGCCGCAGCCGACGTCGAGGACCGTCCGGTTCGCCGCGGCCGCCGCGACGCGCGGCGCGAGCTCGAGGCCGCAGGGCCAGACGCGGCCGCCCGTCGCGTCGCCGTCGCGCGCCGCGCCCCAGGTGTTGGCCAGCGCGTAGACGCCGACGCCGCAGACCTCGAGGGGCGCCACGGCGAAGTCGTCGATGCGCGTCCGAGTGAGCAGCGCGGCCGTGCCGGCGAGCGCTCGGACCCGCAGCGCGGCGACGGCGCACAGGAGCAAAAGCATATGCCGTGCTCAGGCGGTGCTCAGACGCTGCAGCGCTCCGGCAAGCAGGCCAAAACTCGAGCACATTGCGAGCTCTCGATTTTGTTGTACTTCATGGTGCTGTCAACGTCGAGACGTCGGCGCCCCGAGCTGCGTCCTCGCGCCGCGCCCGCAGCCCGCCGTCACGCCGTGCCGTCGGGCCGACCAGACTCGTGCCCCCACAAGTACCACCGCTAGCGCGCTTAGGACGACGCGCGGAGGAGGCGGGAGACCCAGGCTCGGTCGTCGTCGCGGAGGAGGTCGGCGTCCCCCGCGCCGATGATCCAGGTGCGCGTCGCGTCGAGGGCAGGCACGACGAAGGCGGCCTTGGACGCGTCGGCGTCGCCCCCGAGCGCGGCGAAGAGCTTCCCGGCTTCGCGGCGCGTCGCGACGCCCGCGGCGGGCACGGGCGACGCGTCGGCGTCGAGGTCGCGGGAGCCCCCGTCGAGGAGGAGGACCGCGCCGGTCCGCGCGTCGAGGAGCGCGACGAACGTCGCCTCCGGGATCGCGGCGCGGACCGCCGCCGCGGCCCACGGAGCGTCGCCGGGCGCGTCGGCGGCGACCGCCGCCGCGGCTCTGGGAGCGCGGGCGGCGACGGAGGCCCCGTCCGCCGCCGCGCCCGCGTCGCGGGCCTTGGGCCGCGGGACGTAGGGGGCGAGGATCCCCACGGCGGCGACGAACGCGATCGCCTCGGACGCTCGGACCGACGGCGCCGCGTCGCCGCCGAGCGCGACGCTCAGCGCGACGAGGCCGACGAGGCCGCCGCCGAGGGCGACGCGCAGCTTCGTGCCCTCGAGGCCGGGCACGAAGAAACCGCCGCCCCGCTCGATCGCCGCCGACGGGCGGATGTAAAACCCCTTGGCCTGCTTCCCGATGGCCTCCTCGTCCTTGGACGCGCCCAGGCGCCCGACCGCAGGCCGCGCCACGCCCACGGGCGCGAACCCGCGCACCACCGCGCCAACCACGATAAGCGACGTGGAGAGGCGCATGGTCGGTCACTCACTCAGGCGTTGCAGCGCGCTGAGGCAGGCCAAAGCTGTGCTCATCAGTGCGCAAGAGCCGGCTCTTGCTGCATGCTGAGCTCGATGTTGTACTTCATGATGCCGTCGCAGAGCTGCCGGCGGGCCTGGGCGGGGCTGCGTCGTCGCGCCGCGCCCGCGCCGAGACTCTTGCTTGTCGCGCCGACCAGACGCTTGCTCGTCAAAAAAAATGGCCCACAAGTACCACCTCGATCCCGACCGCAAGGTCGACGCGTCGGCGCCGGGCCTCGGCAACCACCACACGCTCTTCGACTTCGAGACCATGTCGGAGTACTACGCCAAGGCCGTCTACGTCGACGGCACGCCGGAGGCGCTCGGCGAGACGCTGCACCCAAACATCGAGCTGACCGTCGACGGCGCCGTCCGCGGGACGACGCGCGCCGCGTTCGTCGACGCGATGGCGGCGCTCCGCGCGCCGCTGACCGACGCGGCGGCGGACTACGCGGACTGGCGCGACCTGCACGTCTACGTGACGACCTGCGACGTCACGGCGACGGACGCCGCGGGCGCGCGCGTGACCTTCGCGAACACGCTCGTCTTCGGCGACCCGCCGGAGCACAAGATCGTCGCGTGGCGCGTCGAGACTAAAACAGGGTGATCCACTCAGGGCGCGCGGATGTGCGGCGGGAGGAGCCCGGCCGCGCGGAGGTCGGCCCAGAGCGCGCCGGGGATGGGGCGGCGCATGGACGCGACGTTGGACCGCACCTCCGCGGGCGACTTGCCGCCGGGGATCACCGACGCGACGGCCGGGTGGCCCAGCGGGAACTGGAGCGCGGCCGCGACGAGGGGGACGCCGTGCCGTTTGCAGATCGCCTCGATGCGCCGCGCGGTCGCGCGGACGTCGTCGCTCGCGGGCCGGTAGTTGTACATGGCTGTTCCGCGCGGCGGGTCGGGCCCCGTGGCGAGGATGCCCGACGAGAAGGGCCCGCCGATGACCACGGCCACGCCGCGCTTCTCGCACTCGTCCAAAATGCCCGCGGCGCTGAAGTTGAGCAGGCTGTAGCAGTTGGCGATGAGCAGGAAGTCGAGGCCCCGGCCGCCGGGCGCCTCGTCGCCCAGCGCGAAGAGTTGATTGACGTAGTCCGCGTTGTAGGCCGCCTTCGCCGCGGCGTCCTCGCCGGCCTCGTCGGCGTTGACGCCCGCGCCGAAGGCCCGGATCGCGCCCGACGCGCGCAGCTCGCAGAGCGCCGCGAAGCCCGACGACGCCAGCGCGTCGAGGTGGCGCTTCGTCGTCGCGGCGCCCGTCGGGTCGTCGGCGCTCTTGTGCGCGTTGGGCTCGAGGTCGTGGATGACGAGCGACTCGACGCGCGCGAGGCCCGTGCGCTGGAGCGAGTCGCGGAGCTGCGTTTTGAACGCGGCGCCCGAGTAGTCGAAGGTCACGGAGAAGTGCGCGCCGTGCTTCCAGCCCCGCCGCGGCCCGCCGCCCAGGTCCGGCTCGAGGGTCCGCCCGACCTTCGTGTTGAGCGCGAAGGACGCGCGGTCCGCGCGCGCGAGGCCCAGGCCGAAGCGCGCCTCCGAGAGGCCGCAGCCGTACCAGGGCGCCGTGTCGTAGAACTGGATGCCGCCGTCGAGGGAGGTGCGGAGAGTCGCCAGGGCCGACTCGTGGGTCGTCTCCACGTACAGGTCGCCCAGCGACGCGCCGCCGCAGCCGAGGACCGTCACCTCCAGGCCCGGCGCGAGGCGCCGCTTTTCGAGCGGCGGGGGCGCGGCCTTCTTCGACCGCCGCTGCCAGCGGTAGAGCGCGACGAGGCCCAGGGACGCGCCGGCGGCGAGGGCGAGTTGTTTCTTCGTGTCCATGGCTGCCCCGAGTGATTTAGCGAGCGTTCAAGATCTTGATGCACTGAACCGTGCCACACCTGGGTCAAATTCTTCAAACCGGCATGGCTGCGACGCCGCAAGAGGGCGCCGGCGGCGCGCCCAACGAAGCCACCAATGGCAATTCACCACCCACGGTCGCGCCGAGCGAAGCGGACTCGGACTCGAGCGCCGTCGTCGTCGACGCGCCGCCGGCGTCGCCCGCGTCCGACGACGGCTCCGAGGCGTCGGCCGTGCTCGTGGCGGCGACGCCGCGGCCCGACGCCGACGAGGAGCAGTCGTCGACGACGCCGACGCCGCGGCGGCCCGGCGCCGACGAGGCGACGTCGTCGTCGACGACGCCGACGCCGCGGCGGCCGGCGCCGCGGGCGCCCGTCGAGGAGGAGCCCGGCTGGCTCGCGGAGCCGGAGCCGGCGCCGCGCGGCGTCGAGCTGCCGCGCTGGCGCCGCTGCGTCGAGGGAACCGAGGCCGGCTGCCTGCCGTCGGGCCTGCTGGCCCTGAGCCGCGCGCGCGGCGGCTACGGGTCCGTCGCCGCGGTGGACGCGCCGGAGCCGCCGCCGCCGCCGCCGCCGCCGCGGCCGCGCATGGCGACGGTGCGCCTGCTCGCGGCGTCGGGCCTCGGACCGGACGCCGTCGCGCGGATCGGCGAGCGGCGCGCGCGCGCGGGCGCGGCCGGCTGCTGCTGGGAGGACGGCGCCTTCCGCGTCGACGCGACCGCCGGCGGCGCGCTCCACGTCGACGTCGGCGGCGCGTCCGTGCGCGTCGACGTCAGCGGCGCCGCGGGCGCGGGGCCGCTCTGGTACGCCGCGATCGGGCCCGACGGCGCCGCGGGCCGCGTCGCGGCCGTCGTCGACGTGGACGAGGACGACGCGGGCGACGACGACGACGGCGCGGCCGCGGAGGACGCGCGGAAAGTCGCGGACGCGATCTTCGAGGCGTTCGACAGCGACGGCGACGGCCGGCTCTCGCGCGCGGACGCGCGGCGGCTCGTGCGCCAGCTTTTGGCCGTCGGCGGCAACGTGCGCACGCTCGCGGGCGACGGCCGCGCCGGCTGGCTGACGGCGTGCGTCCGCGTGCCCGACAGGGCAGGACAAGGGTGATTCAACGTCGCTTCAACGTGAGTGTTCCGCGCGCGCGCGTTCCGGAAAAATCATCCACGCTGCGAGACCGTCCCGAGAGATGATCGCTCGTCCAAAAATCAGCCGAAACGAGTGGAAATCGGCCGAGAGAGGAGCCTTTGAAGTTGGGAATTTCGCACTCTTGTCCTGCCCAGGTGCCCGACGAGGACCTCTGCCGCTACGTGCTCCACCGCCACTGCCTGCTCCGCGTCTGCTACGGCGGCGTGGGCCTCGCGAAGAAGAGCCACTGGCACTCGCGCCTCGTCCTCGTCCTCGTGTCGCTGCTGTGGTCCCTAGCGGCGAACGCGCTCGTCTCCGCGCTGCTCGTGCCGGCCTGGGACCGCGTGAGCCAGGTCATCGCGATCACGCTCGTCGACGCCTTCGGCGTGTCGGCCCTGACGCTCTGCTTCTACGCGGTCCACAGCGACGCCTGCGTCGGCAACTGCAGCGCCGCGTGCGCGCTGAACGTGCCCGCGGTCGTGACGACGGCGCTGAGCGTCGTGCTGCTCGTGCTGCTGCTCGTGTCCCTGCCGAGCGCGGAGTTGCGCCTCGTCTGCGGCTCCTTCTTCCCCATCTGGGGCACGGCGCGCGTCACGGAGCTCTTCAAGCTCGGCACGTTCTGGGCGCTCCAGGTGCAATACGGCGCCTACCGGCGGCCCGACCCGTCCCTCGTCCGCGCGGACCCGTACCTCGCGAAGCTCGAGCGGCTCCAGCGCCGCGGCGCCGCGGACGTCGTCTGACGGCGCGCGCCGTAGCAAACGTGGACTTAGCGGGGGTTTCGAAGGGGGGGGAGGCTTTCGGCCTAGAGGAGGTTGGAGATGAGCTTGCCGACGCCCGAGGCGATGCTGCCGGCGCCGGAGCCGACGGCGCCCGCGGCGTCGCCGGCGACGCCGCCGACGGTGCCCGCGGCGCCCGCGGACCACTGGCCGACGTCGACGGCCGCGCCCCCGGCCCATCCCGCCGCGTCGCCGCCGAAGTTCGCCGCGGCGCCGCCCGCGCCGGCGCCCCACTGGCCGACGTCCTGCGCGGCGCCGGCGCCCCACTGGCCCACGTCGCCCGCGGCGCCGGCGCCCCACTGGCCCGCGTCCATGCCGGCGGCGGCGCCCCACTGCGTCGCGTCCTGCGCGGCGTTGCCGCCCCAGTTCGCGGCGCCGTTGGCCGCGCCCGCGCCCCACTGGCCGACGTCGCCCGCGGCGTTGCCGATGGCCGGCGCGGCCTGGTTCGTCGCGAACTGGGACACGTCGTTCGCCGCGCCGACGGTCCACTGGCCCGCCGTGCCCGCGGCGTTGCCGATGGCCGGCGCGGCCTGGTTCGTGCCCCAGGACGCGACGTCGCCCGCGGCGCCGCCGATGGCCGGCGCGGCCTGGTTCGTCGCGAACTGGGACACGTCGTTCGCCGCGCCGACGGTCCACTGACCCGCCGTGCCCGCCGCGTTGCCGATGGCCGGCGCGGCCTGGTTCGTCGCGAAGCGGGAGACGTCGTTCGCCGCGCCGACGGTCCACTGGCCCGCGGCGCCCGCGGCCTGGCCGACGCCCCCGCCGGAGACCCACTGGCCCGCGTCGTTGACGCCGGCGGAGATCTGGTCCGCGTTCTGCACGGCGAGGACGCCGCCCGCGCCCGCCGCCGCCGCGACGCCGACGGCGCCGAAGGCCACGGCCGCGTTCGTCGCCGTCGACGACCCTTTGCCGCCCTGCTGCTGCTGCTGCTGCTGCTGCTGGGGCTTGGGCTGGCCCGGCGCCCCGGGGGGCGGCCCGCCGCGCATCGCGGGCTGCTGGCCGACGACGTGGGGCTGCCCGCCGGCGCCCGCGAAGGGGTGCGCGGTGGGAGCGAAGCCGCCCGGCGCCGCGCCGTAGCCCGGCTGCATGGGCTGGCCGTAGCCCGGCATGGGCCGCGCCGCGGGCTGGCCCATGCCGTAGGACGCCGGGCCCGGCACGACGGGCCGGCCGTAGGGCCCCCACTCGCCGCGGACGACGACGGACGAGTCGTCGCGCAGGTTCACGGCGATCACGCCCGTCGACGGCACGTCCGGGTGCGCCGCCGTGCGCGCCGCGTGGCCCCACCGAATCTCCGTGGGCGTGTTGGGGATGACGACGGTGCCGCCGTCGGGCGCGTTGGCGATGGCCGCGGCGATGCCCCGGCACGCGGCCGTCGGCAAGACCTGCCAGCCCGCGGGGCCCTGGAGCGCGAAGGCCGTGCAGGCCCAGAGCTGGGGGCGCACGACGCGCGTGTTGTCACTCGCCGTGTTCACCTGGACCATGCCCGTGTCCGGCGCCGTGGCCATCTTGCGCGACGTCGCGAAGTCGCCGAAGCGGACCTCGAAGGGGCCCCCGGGCAGCTTCGCGGCGCCGTTGGGGTTCTGGCCGAGGGCCACGGCGATGAGCACGCTCTGCTCGGGGGCGTAGCGGTGCCAGGTGCCCTGGTCGTCCCGGTGCTCGAAGGCCGCCGTGACGCCGTCGTTGGCCACCTGCTGCCGCAGGGCCGCGAGGAAGCGCCGCAGGTGGACGGCCTCGGCCCGCGCCGCGTTGTAGTCGACGAGGTCGCTCCCGTCCGCGGGCTTCATGGCCTCGGCGTCGAGCGTCGGCCCGAACTGGGCGCTGGCGGCGGCGCCCATGCTGCTTTTTTACCGAGAGCAGTAGTGCGAGGATTGCTGGGAACAAGCACAATGCCAAGGGCTGCGTTGCGCCTGATACGAAGAGGTCGATGGGGCTGCTCAAGTGAAGACCCTGGTCTTGAAGTGGCTGCGGCGAGGGAAGCATGTTTGCTCCTTCTGCGCGGCTGGGCCGAGCCCTCTGCGTCGCGGCCACGGCCGCGGCCTGGAGCCGCGGCGGCGCGCCCCCCGTGCGGTCGCAGTCGATCCGTCGCGCGGCGGACGACGGGGCGCCCCTGCCGACCGTCGAGGAGGCGATCGCCGGCGCCGAGGGCTACGACGGCCCGGGCATCGTCGACCCCTACTACATGCACCCGGACACGTACCCCATGCTCCACGACTGGACGGCGGAGCGCTTCGACTGCGACCTCGAGAGCGGCGGCTACGCCGAGTGGGTCATCCCGGGGGAGGCGTTCGTCTTCGCGCGGTTCCTCAAGGACGGCGAGAAGTCGCGGGCCCTGCGGCGGACGCTGCACCTGGACCACCTCTTCTGGGCGCGCGAGAGCGCCATCGTCGCGGACCGCGACGGCGGCCCGCGGGTCTACGCGGCGCAGGCCGCGCAGGACGACCGCGGCGACGTCGTCGCGTCGGTCGTCGCCGTCGTCGGCGGCGACGCGGCGTCCGCCGCGCCCCTCGTCGCCGCGGACCCGCTCGTGCGCGCCGGCGTCTTCGACGAGGCGCGGAGCGGCGCCTACCACTGGACCATCGCCGGCGACCCCTACCTCCAGGCCGACGTCTGGCCCGACGGCGAGAGCCCGTACCTCCACCTCAAGCTCGACGCCCAACCCGGCGCGAACGCGCGCGGGGCGACGCGCGAGAAGCACCTGAGCTTCCTGCGCAAGACGCGGCGCACGATGCGCGCGGGGCCCCTGCGGCCCCTCGGCGACGCGGCCGGCGCGCCCGTCGGGTCGCTCGTCTACGCGTTCCACGCGTCCCGCGGCGCCGCGCTCGACTGGGCCGCCGCGGACCCGTACGTGGACGCGGGCGTCTTCGGCGACGGGGTCCAGCCGCTGGCCGCGGCGACGTACTGCGAGCTCGACGTCACGGGCACGCAGCTCACGCGGCCGCCGCCGTTGAACGAGCTGCCCGACCCGCTGCTCCAGCGCCTCGTCGACGCGGACCTCGTGACGCTCGAGGAGCGGCAGGTGCAGCGCATCGAGGCGGACCCGAAGACGGGCGAGTTCGTGCGCTACAACATCACGACGACGGACCCGCGCGTGCTCTCGAACGTCGACGTCGACGACGGCCTCATGGCGACGTTCGCGTCGACGCCCAAGGCGCTCCGCGCGAAGAAGGCCCGCGAGAAGAAGAAGGCCTTGGAGGAGGAGGACGCCCTCGCGGCGCTGAGCGGGGCCGAGGGCGACGACGCCGCCGAAAACGACGACGGCGACCTCCCCGACGAGTTCTAGGAAAGGGCGTTCCTAGTCACGCTTAGCTCGCGCCCGCCGCGGGGACGTCGCGCCGCCAGGGGTCCGCGTCGCTCGACGCGTCGAGCAGCCCCGCGTGGCGGTAGCGGTTGAGCTGCGTGGCGACGCCCTCGACGCCGCCGCAGTGGACGTAGCACACGTCCCGGCCGGCGAGCGCGGCGCCGTCGAGCGCGGCGAGGAGCGCGTCCCATGCCCGGGGCGCGTAGACGAGGTCGACGTGGAGCCCCGCGTCGGCGAGCTCGCGCCAGAGCTCCAGGTCGCGCGCCGCGGGCGCGCCGAAGCGGCCGCCGGCCGGCGCGGGGAGGACCGCGGGGAGCGTCCCGTCGCCGCCCGTGCGCCCGTCCAGGCTGTTCATCTGCCGCTCGAGCTCCGCCGCGGACGTCGCGCAGGGCACGACGTGCACCGCGACGCCCGGCGCGACGGCCGCGAGGCGCCGCGCGAGAAAGAGAGCCGTCGTCCCGGTCCCGCCCGGGACGACGACGGCCGCGTCGCCCGCGAGCTCCGCGGCGAGCTCGTCGGCGAGCATGGATACGCCGACCTCGGCGTCGCCGCAGGCGCCGCCCTGGGGCACGAAGCGGATGGCGCCGTCCTCGGGCACGCCCGCGGCGTCCGCGGCGTCTCGGAGTACGGCGCCGCGGAAGCGCGCGTCGTCGACGCAGCGCCGGTAGTCCGCGGCCTTGAGCGGCACGAGCTCGACGCCCAACGCGAGGGCGCGCGCGTAGTTGCCCGCGGGCGTGTGCCGCAGCCAGCGCGGCACCGGCTTGCACAAATAGACGAACGGCAGGCCTCGCGCGCGGCAGAGCGCGGCGAGCGACGGCAGCGCGTTCGACTGGTGGCCGCCGAGGCTCGCGACGGCGGCGACGCGGTCGCCGGGGCCCTCGGCGGCGAAGCCGTAGAGCTTCCGCGCCTTGTTCCCGCTCACGCCGCCGCCGTAGGCGTGCGTCAACCGGTACTGATCATCGCGCTTCACGAGGATCTCGCGGCCCCGCACGACGTGGCGCGTGATGCGCGACGGCGGCGGCGGCGTCAGGGATGAGCTCAAGGTCGCGCAGTCGTTCGACGCGTCCGCGGAGGGCGAGTGCCCGGGCCTCACGAGGATCTCGCGGCCCCGCACGACGTGGCGCGTGATGCGCGACGGCGGCGGTGGTGTCAGGGACGATGCGTAGCGCACGAGCGTCGTCACCAGCGCGAGCATCGATCGCATTGTGGCTCAAGCGCGGCCCATGTTGTGCTTGCCGCAGAAATCGGCGGCGCGATGGCTCTGGTTGCAGTCGGGCCGCGGCCCATGCGCGCCGGACCCATGGCCGCAGCCTGTCTCATTCTGCTCTGCGTACACAATGCCAACGCGCTCGCACTCCAGCGCACGACCAGCGCCCTCCGCATGTCCACAACAACACCAGAAACGCAGCGAGCGACGGACCCCTACCGCGCCCTGAAGAATCGCCACAGCCCCGGCGTCGTGCTCATCGACGGCGACAACTGCCGCGGCAAGTCGCGGTGGCAGTTCTCCGCCGCGGACATGAGCAGCCGCGTGCTCGCGGCGGCCGCCGGCGGGCGCTTCGGCGGCGATGGCGTCGACGCGGTGCTGTTCCTCGACCACGGCGAGGCGCGCGAGTGCGTCGTGCGCGACGGCGGCGCCGTCGCCTTCGCGGGCCGGCGCGCGACGGCCGACGACGTCATGGTCGACGCCGTCGAGTGGTGGCTCGACCGGGGCCGGAGCGTCGTCGTCGTGACGTCGGATTTCGGGCTCCGCCAGCGAGCGAACTACCACGCGGCGCGCTTCGCGCGGGGCAACGGGCCCGGGGGCAAGGCGTCGGACCACGTGCGCTTCGTCGCCGCCGAGGCCCTCGTCGAGGCCTTCGAGGGCGAGGCGCCGCCCGCGCCGCGGGCCTACGAGCGGCCCTTCGCGGACGCGCTGGACCGTCTCGCGGAGCACGTGCTCACGGCGCCGTCGAGCGTCCGCGCGCGGAAGCGGCGCCGCGCGGGCCGGCGCGCGCCCGGGGACGTCGTCGGGTCGCCCCTGGGCAAGGAGCAGACCTGGATGCGCGTCGTCATGGCCGAGAAGCTCCGGTGGTTGTTGCGGACGGCGGGCGACGCGCCGCGCGCGTGCGACGGCGAGCTCGTCGCCTTCCAGGCGGCCTTCCGCGACGACGACGACGACGGCGACGACGCGCCGCCCAAGGTGCTCCAGCACCGGCTCACGGACAAGAAGCACCGCCACGAGCTGCTGCGCTTCGCGGACGCGCTGCGAAGACCGCGAACCGAGGACGGCGACGACGACGCGGCGCCGCCGGTGGCCACGGCCGTGCCCGAGCCGCCGAGGGAGACGAACCCGGCGAACAACCGGCGGCTCCGGCGGTCGACGCGGCGCAAGGCGAAGCGGCTCCAGGACGTCCGCGGCGTCGCCGCCGCCGCCGCGAGCGACGCGGGCCCGAAGACGAAGGCGCTCCTCGCGGACCGGGACGACCTCGAGCGCGCGCTCCGCGCCTGGCTCCGGTCCGACGACGACGACGCCGGCGTCGCCGCGGAGGACCCCGCGGCGAGGTAGCGCGCGCGTTTTACTGAGTTATAAACTAGCCATCGAATGTCCCGCCGCGGCTCTTCATAATTTCCACGAGGCGATCCCAAGTCTCAGTGCCGTATTCAAGCAGGTCTGCGTCCAAATCATCTTCATATTCGGCGTCCAACCATTCATGGTAAAAGACCTGTGTGCGTGAGTCGCGCGAGCGCGCGACAAAAGTACGCCGGAATCCGCGCGTCTTTCAGATTCTCCATCGACGTGACGAGGCGCAAGACTTGCGTCGCGCTCGTATGCGTGAGCTCTATATGAGTCAGTGTATCGCGGATCGGACTCGCGAGAAGGACGTCGACGACCGCGGTGGACTCGAACTCCATGTGATTGTGACCAAGTATGAGAGTCTTCAGCGGGAAGTTTTGGCACACGGCCTCCAGCCCGGAAGTTTCGAAGAAAAATCCAAGCTCCAAAGTCGTGATTGTAGGCCGCGTGCGGAAGAGCGTTCGGTAGAAGGAAGGCGAGGCGAGCTCTCTCTCGTCTGGGTCCGACGGATCGTAAAAAGTCCGAGGGAGGTGCAGATCCTGTAGCTTGGGACAGGCTGCGACGAGTGCAAGAACTGTCGAAGCGAGAGTTGCATTCCAATCAAATTTGAGACAAGTCATGCGCGAAGGGAGCGACGTCCGCAGCAGGCACTCGACCAACTCCGGCTCCACCACACAATTCTCAAAGTCACATTCCTCTGCTTTCAGACAGCGCTCAGCAGATTCTGCGATTCTATCGAAGGCTTTTGGGACATACTGTCCGTTGACGTTGGAGCCTCGGGCAACCCACCCAAAACGAAGAACTGGGATGTTGGGAAAGTGCATTGCGAAAGCTTCCGCCTCACACATCCCGGCCCTCGGCAAGGAGACTTCATTCAGTAATGGACACACCCGGCCGATCTCTGCGACAAGATTCCTATCAAGCGGTGTGCGACCATGGGGGTAAAGAGTGAGCCAGACAAGCCGCGGGTTCGCCCGGCACATCTCGAGAATCCAAGCGTCAGGCATGACTAGTGAAGAGATCGTGAGACTCTCCAAACTCCGGGGGCTGATGGCCTTCTGGAATACGCAGGCCGCCTCGAGCATCATCGTGTTCTTATCTTCGGACCAATCCTCCGCGCTTACGGTGAGCTTTTTACAGCCGCCGCCGAAAACGCGTCCGAGCGCCGCGGCTTTTTCGACTGACATTTTGGCTGGCTCTATCTTTTTCGTCTTATGGTTGTAAAAGGTACCGGCATTAAGCCAAATCTCACGGCAGTGGGGGTGTTGCCTGGCTGCGAGCTGGACGGCGTCCCTCGCGGCGCTGGAGACGGCACGAATTGGGAGCAGGGTTTTGCGATTCCAATGTGTCACACTCGTCCAACCTATAACATTAGCGAGGAGATCCTGCGACAGGGAGTCCATCACACCTACGACGAGAGGGGCACTAGCGTCAGGCGGCGCGATGGCAATGCCGCTCCTCCTCACGGTGCTCTCCACAAGTGTGGCGAAATTTCAATTTTTAATCGGCGATCAAATCTAGGTTCCACTTTACTGCCGTAATTCGCCGGCGAGTGCGAGTTTGCTTGCTTTGCCGGAGTCGTCGCGAGTTTTCCCGTTTGCCGCAACTCGACTTGCCGGCGCCGCTAGTTGCGGGAAACGGCGAGTTTCTGTGGTAAATTGAAGTAAAGTTTCACCTCAACTTGAAGTAAACTACGATATAACTGGCTGCCAAGCCCCTACACAACCAGCGCCGTCCTCGCAGGAGGAACCGCGAAGCGCCGTAATATCCGCGCCAATGAAGCAGAGTTGATTTCGGTCGTTCCCGCGCGTCACGCGCGCCGCGTAGTACGCGGGACGCCACGGCTTGAAGGGCCTCTCGGCCGCCGAAAAACCGGCCCGCCGGCAAACTCGCCGGCGGCAAATCACCGGCAAAGTCAAACTCGAAAAACTCGCCCCTGGAGCGGCAAAGTTTTTACGGTAAAATGGAACCTAGGATCAAATGACGCCTCAAATGGCATCGACGCCTGCATCACGACCAAGGCCTAAGCCGCAGCAGCCTGCAAGCCGCTCTGCCCCACATCCACGAGTAAGCTCCAGGATAGTATAGTCCGCTGTCGCGCCTCCGACCCACCCGCGACGGCCCAGCTCAGGCTGGTTTTACTCACAGCTTGGCCTTGATGGCGGCCTCGAGCTTCGCCGTCTCGGCGATGAACGCGTTGATGCCCTCGGCGAGCTTCGTCGTCGTCGCCATGTCGCCGTTGACCGCGAGGCGGAACGCGCTCTCGTCGAGCGGGAGCGCGCCGTCCGCGCAGGCCGCGGCGGCGGCCGCGGGCTCGAGGTTCCGCGGCACGGGCGCGTCGGACCCCTGGAGAAGGTCGAGGAAGGCCGGCGGGATGGTCATGCGGTCCGTGCCCGCGAGCGCGAGGATCTCGTCGACGGCGAACGCCGGGTCGCCCGTCCCCCGGCTCGGCCGCCACGACGCGGGCATGCAGATCGTGCCGTGGCCGTGCTTCTTGTAGTAGGCGTAGATCCGCGAGACCTCGACGACGCCCGGGTCGTCGGCGGGCTCGTAGGTCGGTTCGCCGCCGTTCGCCGAGTGCCAGTCCTTGACGCGGCCCGGGAACGGCGAGATGAGCCGCGCGCCCGCCTGCGCCGCGGCGACGGCCTGCGCGAAGCCGAAGATGAGCGTGATGTTGCACGTGATGCCCTCCTTCTCGAGGATCTCCGCGGCCTTGATGCCCTCCCACGTGCCCGCGAGTTTCACGAGCACGCGGCTCCGGTCGACGCCGGCCGCCTCGTACATCGCTATGATCCGCCGCGCGCGCCGCACGGACTCGTCCGTGTCGAAGGACGCGCGGATGTCGACCTCCGTCGACACGTAGCCGGGCACGAGCTTGACGATCTCGAGGCCGAGCTCGACCGCGAGCCGGTCCATCGCGAGCGCGACGACGTCGTCGTCGCCCGCGTGCTCTTTCGCGTAGGCGATGGCCGCGTCGACGAACGCGACGTAGCGCGCGTCGCCGGACGTGCCGGCCTGCGCGACGAAGAGCGGGTTCGTCGTCGCGTCCGTGACGAGGCCCGTGTCGGCATACTTTGCGATGACGTCGAGGTCGCCGGTGTCGATGGACAGCGTCGTCATCTCCGCGAGCTGCTCGAGCTGCGACGCGCGCAGGGCCGCCGCGGTCGCGCGGCGCGGCGCGGGCAGCGTGAAGGCTGTCGCCGTCGCGACGAGGGAGGCAAGTAGCAGCACCATCGTCGAGCAGGATCGATCGAGCCGGTTTAGCCACAGCGCGCTGCGCGAGATGGCAGCCCTCGCGGAGGCCGTCGACGACCTAAAAATCGCAAATGAGCCGCGCGCCGACGTCGCGAACCACGTGCGGTTCCTGCGCATGCACCTGCGCATGCTGCCGCAGCCCTACCTGTCGCTGGACACGTCGCGCATGACGGCGCTCTATTTCTGCGTCGTGGGCCTCGACATCCTCGGCGAGCTCGAGAACGAGCTCAAGGCCGACGAGCGCGCGGCCATGATCGACTGGATCTACGGCCTCCAGGTCGACGACGGCGGCCACGGCGGCTTCCGCGGGTCGGGCTGGGCCGGAGGGCCGCTCGGCGCGGCACGCGCGGCCGCGGCGCCCGCGCACGACCTGGACCGGCCGCACCTGGCCATGACCTACACGGCCCTCGCGACGCTCCTGACCTTGGGCGACGACCTCGGCCGCGTCGACGGCGCCGCCGTCGCGCGCGGCGTCGGCCGCGCGGCCGCCGGCGACGGGTCCTTCGCCGCCGCCGCCGTCGGCTGCGAGCGGGACCTGCGCTTCGTCTTCTGCGCCTGCGCCGTGTCGCGGCTCGTCGGCGACTTTTCGGGCGTCGACGCGGCGGCGACGCTGCGCCACATCGGCGCGTGCCAGGCCTACGACGGCGGTTTAGGGCTCGCGCCCGGCGGCGAGTCGCACGGCGGGTCGACGTACTGCGGCATCGCCGCGCGCGCGCTGCTCCTCGACGGCGCCGCGGCGACCACGGCGGCCGGCGTCGACGCCGACGCCGCCGTGGCCTGGTGCGCGAGGCGCCACGACGGCCGCGGCGTCGTCGGACGCACGAACAAGCCGCCCGACTCGTGCTACGCGTACTGGGTCGGCGCGGCGCTGCGCTGCCTCGGCGCGCGCCACCTCGTCGACACGACCGTGCCCTTTGTGTTGTCCTGCGAGAACAGGAAGATGGGCGGCTTCGCGAAGTACCCCGAGGACACGCCGCCGGACCTGCTCCACGCGTTCTACAGCCTCTCGTCCCTGTCCTGGACGGACCCGCGGTTCCGCGCTGTGGACCCCATGCTCGGCATCTGCGCCCACCGCCTCCCGCCGCGCTAGTACGGTCTCTTTTGTTTCGTGACCGTTACGCCGCGCGTCCACCTCGCGCGGGTCGTTTTTGCCCCCTCAGCTCTGCTGGAGGCTCCGGGCGAGGTCGTCGGCGACGCGGCGCGCGCAGGCCGAGTAGGCGTCGACGAGCTTCGCGCACTTGAGGACGTCGCCGCCCTTGTTGTCCTCGTAGCACTTGAGGACGTCGCGCTCCTCGGCGAGGCACCGCGGCACGGGCGGCGGCCGCACGAAGTCGTACTTGCTGTGGAGCAGCGCGACCTGGGCCTTGACGTGGTCCAGCTGCGACGCCTCGGCCTCGCGGAGCTCGCGCTCGCGGGCCTCGAGGAGCCCGCGGCGCTCGCTCTCCCACGCCGCGCTCGCCGCGAGGACGCGCTCCGCCGTCGCCACGGTCACGCGCCGCTCCACCTCCGCCTCGAGCGCTTTCTGCTGCTCGTCGACGAGCCGGCTCTGGCGCTGCGCGCTCAGCGTCTCCGCGAGGCCGCTCTCGACGGAGATGGTCCCGCTCGGCGCCGCCGGGCCCTCGGGCGCCGGCGGGCCTGCGCTCCGCGACAGGCGGCCGCCCATGGCTCGAGCGTCGCCGAGCGCGTGCGAGCGCAAATGGGCCACGCGCAGGGGACGCTGCCCAGCGCGCGCGAGAGGCTGCGGCAGCGCGAGTGCGGGCTCTTGCAGCCACTGCCGCCGGCGAGTCGCGGTCCAAGCCGGGGATCGGCGCCGCCCGCCGCCTGGCGCGCCGGCAGCGCCACTTGCAGCGCCGGTAGGCCTGCCGGTGCGCCAGCGGCGCCGCGGGCGCCATGAAGGGCCGCGCGGACAGCAGCCGGCACGCGACGTCTGCCTGGCGCGGCACACCAACCTCGTTACCACTTCGCCTCGGGGATGACGCGCTTCCCGGCGATGCCGTCGTCGTGGTAGTGGGGCTGGCGGAGGCCGTCGTTGTACTGGCGCTGGAACCAGCGCTTGCAGTGGCTGTCCTCGCGGCCGTGGGCCGCGTGCTTGTCGTGGCGCCGCTTGACGTCCTCCTCGAGGCGCGAGTAGAAGTCGGAGTGGTCGTTGTCGTCCGCGGCGCCGCGGCGCCGCGTGAAGATGGAGGGCTGGAACGTGCACTCGTCGAGGTCGTCGCGCGGGTCGCCGTGGTCGAGCGCCGCGGGCCCGGACCGCGCGAGGCCGGCGCGGTCGTCGGCGTGGTCGCGGCGGCGGACGAGGTCCGCCTCGAGGCGCTCGTAGAACGCGTCCCACGCGTACTCGGACTGGCGCTCGGGGAAGAGGGGCTCCGTGACGACGCGGCCGTCGCGGAAGACGCGCTTCGCGCCGACGGACCGCCCGTGGTCGACGTCCCGGGCGAGCGCGTCCATCTTGCACTCGGCCTCGCGCCGCCGCGCCTCGACGGACTCGAGGAAGCCGTCGATGTCGCCCTTGTTCTTGCGGGTATACGCGACGGCGCACTCGACGCAGCGGTCCCGCTTCTCCTCGACCTCGTCGTAGGACTGCACGGCGCCGCAGCTCGGGCAGACCTTCTTGTCGAGCTTGACGTCGTAGTTCGCCTTGCCGATAGCCGCCTCCTTCTCGCGGCGGACCTTGCGCGTCCACGCGTCCTGGCGCTGGATGAAGTTGTCGGTTTTAGCTTCCGCGTCCGGGCCCTCGCCGTCGCTGCTCTCCTTGACCTCGGAGTTGGGGTCCTTGCGCGTCTTGGGCCGGAAGACGCAGTGGCGCGCGTCGCCGTAGGACCCGTGCCGCGCGAGGCGCCGCGCCTCGGCCGTCCGCGGCCGATCCTTCCCGTCGTCGTCGCGGCACGACGGCCGGCTGGCCTTGCCCGTCGCGAGGCGCGCGAGGGCCTTGTCCCGGAGCCGCGCGGACCGCTTCTTCGCCGGGTTGAAGTCGACGCTCCGCGCTAAAAGCGTCCGCTGGAGCTTGCTGACCCGCGGCCGCGACCGGTCGCGCCGGTCCGCGCGGAGGCTCCGCTCCGCGAGGAAGCGGTCCCGGCCGTAGCGGCCCTCGATCCAGGGCGCGCCGTCGACGCCCGGGTGCCGCGCGGGCGACGGCTCGCCGTCGGAGTCGGACGCCGCGTCTTCCCGCGCGTCGGCCGCGAGCCCCGCGGCCGCCGCGGCCGCCGCGTCGCCGTCCGTCGCCGCCGCCGCGCTCCGCAGCGCGTCCTTGACGGCCGCCGCGTCCTCCGCCGCCGCCTCGCGCATGTGGGCCTCCGCGCGCGCGACGGCCTCGCGGTTCAGGTCCTGCGCGGCGGCCCGGAGGCCCGCGGCCGCGAGCGCGTCCGTCGACGACTCGAGGTCCCGCGCGGCCGCGGCGAGGTTCTCCGCCGCGTTGACCGACGCCATGGACTCCGTCTTCTTGAGGGCCGCGGCGGCGGCGAAGAGCTTGTTCGTCGACCGCTGCGACTCCTCGAGCGACGTCAGCTGGTCGCCCGCCTCCGCGGCGGCCGCGGGCGCCGGCGCGGGCGCGGCGGGGGTCGGGGCCGGCGCCGGGGCCGGCGCGGCGGGGGTCGGGGCCGGGGCCGGGGCCGACGCGGACGCTTTGATGAGGGCTTCCGCGACCTTGGTCTCCTTCTCGCCGTCGTCGTAATCGACGTTGTAGGTCCCGTCGCCGTTGTCCGCGGCGATGATGCCGGCGTAGTACTTCGGCTTGCCTCGGTAGCGCGCCTCGACCTTCGCGCCGACGGCGAAGGCGCCGCCCGTGCCCGTCGCCGCCGGCGCCGCCGCGGACGCTTTGATGAGCGCCTCTGCGACCTTGGTCTCCTTCTCGCCGTCGTCGTAGTCGATGTTGTAGGTCCCGTCGCCGTTGTCCACGGCGATGACGCCGGCGTAGAACTTCGACTTGCCGCGATATCTCGCCTCGACCTTGGCGCCGACGGGGAAGGCGCCGCCCTTTCCGGCAGCCGGCGCGGGCGCCGCCGCGGACGCTTTGATGAGCGCCTCCGCGACCTTCGACTCCTTCTCGCCGTCGTCGTAGTCGATGTTGTACGTGCCGTCGCCGTTGTTCACGGCGATGACGCCGGCGTAGTACTTCGATTTTCCCCGGTAGCGGGCTTCGACCTTGGCGCCGACAGCGAACGCGCCGCCCTTTCCAGGGGCCGGCACGGCGGCCGCGCTCGCTTTGATGAGCGCCTCTGCGACCTTCGACTCCTTCTCGCCGTCGTCGTAGTCGATGTCGTAGGTACCGTCGCCGTTATCCTTTGCGATGACGCCGGCGTAGTACTTCGACTTGCCGCGGTAGCGCGCCTCGACCTTGGCGCCGACAGCGAACGCGCCGCCCGTGCCCGTCGCCGCCGGCGCCGGCGCGGCCGCGGACGCTTTGATGAGCGCCTCGGCGACCTTGGTCTCCTTCTCGCCGTCGTCGTAGTCGATGTTGTAGGTCCCGTCGCCGTTGTCCGTCGCGATCACGCCGGCGTAGTACTTCGATTTTCCCCGGTACTTTGCTTCGACCTTGGCGCCGACAGCGAACGCGCCGCCCGTGCCCGTCGCCGCGGGCGCGGCCGCGCTCGCTTTGATCAGCGCCTCTGCGACCTTGGTCTCCTTCTCGCCGTCGTCGTAGTCGATGTTGTACGTGCCGTCGCCGTTGTCCACGGCGATGACGCCGGCGTAGTACTTCGACTTGCCGCGATATCTCGCCTCGACCTTGGCGCCGACGGGAAAGGCGCCGCCCTTTCCGGCAGCCGGCGCGGGCGCCGCCGCGGACGCTTTGATTAGTGCCTCGGCCACTTTCGTCTCCTTCTCGCCATCATCGTAATCGATGTTGTAGGTCCCGTCGCCGTTATCCGTCGCGATCACGCCGGCGTAGAATTTCGATTTTCCCCGGTAACGAGCATCGACCTTGGCGCCGACTGCGAACGCGCCGCCCGTGCCCGTCGCCGCCGGCGCGGGCGCGGCCGCGCTCGCTTTGATCAGCGCCTCTGCGACCTTCGTCTCCTTCTCGCCATCGTCGTAATCGATGTTGTACGTCCCGTCGCCGTTGTCCGTCGCGATCACGCCGGCGTAGTACTTCGACTTGCCCCGGTACTTTGCTTCGACCTTGGCGCCGACGGCGAACGCGCCACCCTTTCCCGCAGCCGGCGCCGGCGCCGCCGCGGACGCTTTGATGAGCGCCTCTGCGACCTTCGACTCCTTCTCGCCGTCGTCGTAGTCGATGTTGTAGGTCCCGTCGCCGTTGTCCGTCGCAATCACGCCAGCGTAGTACTTCGACTTGCCCCGGTAGCGCGCCTCGACCTTGGCGCCCACCGCAAAGGCGCCGCCCTTTCCAGCGGCTGGCGCGGCCGCGGCCGCGGACGCTTTGATTAGTGCCTCTGCGACCTTGGTCTCCTTCTCGCCGTCGTCGTAGTCGATGTTGTAGGTCCCGTCGCCGTTGTCCGTCGCAATCACGCCGGCGTAGTACTTCGCCTTGCCTCGGTAGCGCGCCTCGACCTTGGCGCCGACGGCGAAGGCGCCGCCCTTTCCAGCGGCTGGCGCGGCCGCGGCCGCGGCCGCGCTCGCTTTGATGAGCGCCTCTGCGACCTTCGACTCCTTCTCGCCGTCGTCGTAGTCGATGTCGTAGGTACCATCGCCGTTATCCTTTGCGATCACGCCAGCGTAGTACTTCGGCTTGCCGCGGTAGCGCGCCTCGACCTTCGCGCCCACCGCAAAAGCGCCGCCCGTGCCCGTCGCAGCAGGCGCCGCCGCGGACGCTTTGATGAGCGCCTCGGCGACGTTCGACTCCTTCTCGCCGTCGTCGTAGTCGATGTCGTAGGTACCATCGCCGTTATCCTTTGCGATCACGCCAGCGTAGTACTTCGGCTTGCCGCGGTAGCGCGCCTCGACCTTCGCGCCCACCGCAAAAGCGCCGCCCGTGCCCGTCGCAGCAGGCGCCGCCGCGCTCGCTTTGATGAGCGCCTCGGCCACCTTCGACTCCTTCTCGCCGTCGTCGTAGTCGATGTCGTAGGTCCCGTCGCCGTTATCCTTGGCGATCACGCCGGCGTAGTACTTCGACTTGCCGCGGTAGCGCGCCTCGACCTTGGCGCCCACCGCAAAGGCGCCGCCCGTGCCCGTCGCCGCCGGCGCCGCCGCGGACGCTTTGATGAGCGCCTCGGCGACGTTCGACTCCTTCTCGCCGTCGTCGTAGTCGATGTCGTAGGTGCCGTCGCCGTTGTCCTTGGCGACCTTGCCCGGGTAGAGCTTCGACTTGCCCCGGTAGCGCGCCTGCACCGCGGCGCCGACGGCGAAGGCGCCGCCGGCGCCGGCGCCGCCGAGGGGCCGGATGAGGGCCTCGATGACGTTGGCCTCGCTCTCGCCGTCGTCGTAGGCGATGTCGTAGGAGCCGTCGTCGTTGGCCTTGGCGATCTTGCCCGGGTAGAACTTGCTCTTGCCGCGGTAGCGCGCCTCGACGCGCGCGCCCGCGGCGTGCTTGCCCTTGCGCGGGGACCGGCGCGGCGAGCCGCCGGCCGGCCGCACGAACTCCTTGACGACGCCCGACTCGCGGTCGCCGTCGTCGTAGGCGACGTCGAAGGTGCCGTCGTCGTGGGCCTTGGAGATCTTGCCCGGGTACCACTTGCGGCCGCCGTTGTGGCGCGCCTCGACGGCGGCGCCGACGGCGAGCGCGTCCTTCTTCGACGGCGTGTTCACCGACGGGAAGTCCACGGCGCCGCTCTGGCTCATGGAGAAGTCCAGCGAGTTGTCCATGCCGCCGGCGCGACACCGCGCGCGGGCGCCCCTACACGGGCAGCCCAACCGAAAGCTTGAAACGGAATGTTACCTGCAGCCTAGGTTCCACTTTACTGCCGTAATTCGCCGGCGAGTGCGAGTTTGCTTGCTTTGCCGGAGTCGTCGCGAGTTTTTGCGTTTGCCGCAGCTCGATTTGCCGGCGCCGCTACTTGGGGAAACGGCGAGTTTCCGTGGTACATTGAAGTAAAGTTGTACCTCAACTTGAAGCAAACTACGATAAATTGGCTGCCAAGCCCCTCACACAACCAGCGCCGTCATCGCAGGAGGAACCGCGAAGCGCCGTAATATCCGCGCCAATAAAGCAGAGCTTATTTCGGTCATTTCCGCGCGTCACGCGCGCCGCGTAGTACGCGGGACGCCACGGCTTGAAGGGCCTCTCGGCCGCCGGAAAACCGGCCCGCCGGCAAACTCGCCGGCGGCAAATCACCGGCAAAGTCAAACTCGAAAAACTCGCCCCTGGAGCGGCAAAGTTTTTACGGTAAAATGGAACCCAGCCTGCAGCGTCGCCCTAGGTCAGATCCGGGAGCTCGTCGTCGTCGTCGTCGGGCGGCGGCGGGAGGTCCGCGACCTTGGGCGGCGCCGGCGCCGGCGCCGCGGCGGGCCGCGGGAGGCGCTTCGCCAGATTCGCGACGTCCGCGTCGAGGGACTGGAGCGCGGGGCTCGCGAGCGCGTCGTCGAACGCGTCGCCGTCGCCCGACTGCGGGATGCCCGGCTTGAAGGCCACGAGCAGGTCCTCGGCGGCCTTGGCCTGGGACGAGGACGCGAAGCCCGGGTGGCCCAGCGCCGTCATGAAGGCGCCGTCCGCGGCGTCGACGTCCGCTCGGTTCGCCAGATGCAAAACGACGGACGCGCCGAGCGTCCGGTAGAGCGCGGGCCCGGGGTCCAGGTTGGCGTCCGCCAGGGCCTTGACGTGCTTGGACACCGTGGAGATGGCGTCGTCCAAGAGGCCCCGCCGCGCGTACCAGCCCAGCGCCTTGCGCGCGACGTCCGGCTGGCACGCGTGCCCCGACGCCGCGTCCGCGTAGTCCAGCGCCGCGGCCACGAGGTCCATGGCCCGCGTCGGCGCCGCGCGCTGGTCGAGCGTCTCCGTGCCGCAGCGCAGCGCCGTCTCCGCCGCCCGCAGCGCCTCGCCCGCGTCGGCCCACGCGGCCGCCGCGCGACCGCCGAAGTCGGCCCTCTGCGCGTCGTCGAGCGCGAGCTTGCTCGCCTTCTCGAGCTCCGCCGCCGCCGTGTGGTGCGCGGCGACGTCCGGCGACGCGTGGCAGGCCGCGGCCTTGCCGTAGGCCGCGACGGCGAGCGGGCGCGCCTTGGCGGACGCGTAGGCGGCCGCGGCCGCGGCGTACTTTGGCGCGGCGAAGAGCGGGTTCGGCTTCTTGGCCATGAGGCCCGCGAAGCCCGTCTTCCTCGGAGGCATGAGCGCCTCGGCCTCGGCGAAGAGCGCGTCGCCCTTGGACCGCAGGGCCGCCTCCTGCTCCTTCTTCTTGGCGACGGCGGCCGCGGACGGGCCGCCGAGGGACAGCGGCGCCTTTTGCGTCGCCTTCTTCTTCTGCGGGGGCGGGGCCTTGCCGTCGCTCTTGGAGGCGAACAAGGCGTTGCGGTTGTCGGTGTAGGAGGCCATCGCGCTGCGCGTGGGTCGGCGGCGGCGGCCGACGGCGCGAGGAAGAGGCGCAAGGCGGCGCTCGAGCTGCCCTTGCCACAAGGATGCATCGCGGGGCCTTGACGGCATCTTGAACAGCGGCTGCTCCGCTCCGAGCCGCGCGAGCCGTGCGACAGTCTTGCCGTCTCGTCCATTAGAACAGCATGCGCTCTGTTGTTGCCCTCATGTGCGCCGCGACGGCGTCGGCCTTCGTGCCCCGCTCTGTTGTTGTCCCCGCCCGTATGTCGCCGCTGCGCGTCGACGCCGACTGCGTCGAGAGCGAGAGCTGCTCCGTCGAGGAACTCGCGGACTTGCTCGCGGACGTCAAGTCGAAGGCGGCGGAGATCAAGGCGCTCGAGGCGAAGCTGACGGCGCTGAACAAGGACGACACTGTCAAGCTGAAGACCATGCTCAAGGCCGAGGAGTGCGAGCTCAACGGCTTCGACGGCTGCTCCGCGTGGCGCGTGGCGCCGCGCCCGTCGTTCGACCGCGCGCGCGCCGCGCGCCGGCACGCGCATCGCAGACCCGACTACGCCGCAGGTACTACGACGACTAAGCGGGCCCTCGGCGCGCGCGGCCCGGGGGAGGCTCGCGGCGGCGACGCGCGGCCCCCCGTCGCCCCCCGGGCGCGACGACGACCCCCCTAATAAAAGGTCCCAGACACGGCGACCTAGGGCGGCGGGAAGTCGACGGGCTTCCAGCCGCCGGCGTCGCGCCGCGCCTCGGCCTTGAGCGCCTCGATCATGCCCTCGGGCTTCGACGCGGTCGCCGCCTCGACGTCGAAGTGGGGCGCGAGCGCGGCCGCGAGGCCCTGGCCGAGCACGGCCGCGCCGCGGTTCGCGTCGCGGTCCCGCTCGTCGGCGACGTGGTCGCGGAGGCGCGACAGGAACGCGCCGTGGTCGCGGTCGCCGCGGTACTCGGGCCGCTTCGCCGGCAGCGCGAGAAACGCCATGTGCTCCGGGTCGTAGTCCCAGAGGAAGGACGTGTGGTGGATCCACTTGTCCTTGGAGATGCACTGGGCGTTGCCGCCGACCTTGCGGTCGCCGCCGAGGACGTAGTCGTCGGCCCGGAGCGAGAACGCCGCGCCCGGTTTGAGCACGGAGCCGAACGCGTCCGCGTAGACGCCCTCGGTCCAGGCCATGATGTCCCGCGGGAAGGGCTCGCAGGGCGCGTCGTCCTTGCGCACGACGAGCGACGCGACGACCGTGCCGCCGCCGACGACGACCGTGCCGCCGCCCGTGAACCGCCGGACGACGTCGACGCCCGGCCACGGCGCCGCGCGCAGCTTCGCCTCGTCCAGCAGCAGCTCGGGCTTGCCGCTCAGGCCCACGACGACCGTCGGCGCCGTCGGGTGCGTCTTGCTCCCCGCCGGCAGCGCGTTGACGAGGCACCAGTTGCCGCCCTCGTGTCGCAACAGGGCCTCCTCGAGCCGGAGCATGCGCTTGATGCTCCAGCCGGAGAGGTTCAGCAGGCGCATGGGCGCGCCCATGGCTCCGAGAAGGGTCGCGCGCGGCGAGCGCGCGCAAGTTAGGGTGGAACGGAGCGCGGGCGGCGGCGACCAGGCTGGGCAAAGTGAGGTCGACGGTGTGGCAATGGCGACGCGTCGCCGGCCTGGCCCTGCGCGCCGCGCCCGGGCCTTGAGCGGCGACGCGCTCCCGTCTACGACGGACATGGGGGAGGCTTATTAACTACCTGCACTTCAGCTCTAGAGTTCAAGGTCGGCGCATTCTGCTTTTAGATGCTCTGCCAGAAACACGGGCACCAGATAGCGGAACTCACGACAGAAACTATAATACTTGGATGCCAGAACGGTACGAGTGTTTGCCTTACGTACAGCATGTTTCGCTTTTTGTTTCATTTGCCGCACATACTTTTTATTCAGCTTGCTGTTCCGAGTTTTCAGTATTAAATCAAGAAGCGCCTTCGCTGGCAACGAAGCTTGCAACAAGATGACCAGTTCTTTGCGCATCTGTTTTTCGCTGAACTTTTGCACAACGGCTGTTGCAATTTCCCGCATCATCGACAGTCTATCATTGGTGACCAAATACAGTCCGCCTTTTGTAAAGGAGGGCAAGCACTGCACGAAATTATGGTAAACGTTGACCATGTTTGCAGCTTCTGTTAATGAGGCGATTTTGTCAACAGACCGGATCGCATATAAGGTCAGTTTTGACGTGCTCTTCCAATCAACATGCGGCGTGGAGAGTTTCCCTGCATAGAATTTGTGAAGACTCGAAGCACACATGAGGTGGGAAGAGGCTTCGGATGCGCAAGCTTCTAACGGTCCAAGAAGCACGGCGATCGTAACCATCCTCAGTCCGGCCATTGGCCCGCAGAAAAGCGCAGCCTCGACCCAAGACCGCGATGATTTTCTACAATAGCTTCGCTTCCTTACATTCACGTCGAGACATATGCCGAATTTAACCAGATAGTCTTGCCAGTGTTGCTGCACGAACTTTAGGCCGTACGCGCCGGCTTCTTTTCCGATGCGCTCGACCTCATCGTTGAGCTCGATGCTCTTGTGGAGCAGGGCCATGAGACCCTCACGCGTCAGGTCTACGTCGTCGTCCTCCTCGACGCGGTCGAGGTTGGGACTGTTGTAAGGATCAAATGATATGTCGGTGCACAGAGGGCCCGTCGGCTTCTTCTTCTGCGCGCCGCGCCGCGTCGACTTTGCGCCGGACGTCGTCTCGAACTCCGGATCGCTGTCGAGGCCATGGTCGCTCGAGGAGTCCTCGTCGGACGAGGACTGATTTTCGCCCTGAGGCGGCGCCGGCGCGGCCGCGGCACGGCGCGGGCGCCGCGAGGCCAGTGGGGCATCGTCGGGGTCGTCAGGCGACTCCCCGCGCGCCGCCGCACGGCGGTCGCGCGCGACGCGCTGCCGCAGGAGCTCTGCGGCTGGGCCCTGCGCGAGGTGCTCCATGCCCTACTCTTGAAATCCTCCACAAAGCGCCGCTCGCCCCGCCGCCCGCGTGCCCGGTCTGCCTCGAGGAGCTCGGCGACAGCGCGACGGCGCTCGAGTGCGGCCACGGCATGCACCCGGGCTGCGTCCGGGCCTACGTCGCGTCGAGCTGGAGCCCGCCCGCCGCCGCGGGCCGCCGCGCGCGCGCAAGCCCGCGGCTCACCCGGGCCGCGCGCGCGACGCGATGGCGGCTCACTACGCGCGCCCCTCGACTGGCACCCCCCCGAGCTGAGAGCCACCTTAACCCCCCGCGCCGTCCGCGGCCGCGCGCAGCAGGTCGGCGGCGTGGGCCTCGAGGGGCGCGAGGCGCGGGTCGTCGGGCGCGGCCGCGCGCGCGGCCCGGAGCCGGTCCAGCGCGGCCGGGAGGTGCGCGCGGCGCCACGCGTCCCCCGCGTGCTCCGCGTCGCAGCAGAGCACGGCGCAGCGCGCGGCCATGACCCGCGCGTCCCAGGCGTCCGCGCGGAGCGGGAGCCAGGCGCCGTCGCCGTCGCGGCCGTCGAGGTCCGCGAGCGCGGACTCGTAGGCCCGCAGCGCCGCGCGCGGCCGCCGGTCCTCGAGGAGGAGCCGGCCGAGCTCGAGGCGCGCCTTGGCGCAGTAGCGGTAGGCGCGGCCCGCGGCCGCGAGGGACCGGCGCGCGGCCGCGGCGTCGCCGCGGAGCCGCTCGACGGACGCGAGCGTCAGGTGGAGCTGGTGGTCCGCCGGCGCGGCCGCGAGGCCCACGTGCAGCGCCGCGGCGGCGCCGGCGAGGTCGCCGGCGCCGCGCCGCGCGACGCCGTGGGCCTTGGCCCGCCGCGCGAGCTGCGGAGCTCCGTCCGCGAGCACGAAGAGCACGAGGACCCAGCGCGTGCCCGCCGCGACGGCGTGGCCCGCGTGCTGGACGCCCGAGTTGTGGCAGACGGCGCAGCCCCGCCCCGGCGCGTGCAGCGCGCCCCGCTCGAGGCCCTCGAAGTACGTGCCGCCGCCGGCGAACGACGCCGGCTCCGTCAGCACGACGTTCAGCGACACGAGCGACGCGTCGCGGTGCATGGGCTGCGACGTCGACGGGCCCTCGTACTTTAACAACAACGACTCGTAGAGCACGAGCGCCTCCGCCGCGACGCCGTAGCGGCTCGCGAGCAGCGGGTAGAAGCGCTCGACGAGCGCGGTCCTAAGCCACGCGGACGCGCGCGGCAGCTCGCTCACGGCGGCCTCGCCGATGACGCGCCGCGGGTCGTCGGCGCCCTTGGCGTCGATGGACGCCTGCGCCTCGGCGACGAGCGCGTCGCACTCGGCGGCGGTGACGACGGGTTCCTTCGTCGCGTAGACGGCGTGGCCGCCTCGAAGCTCGCGCTCGTCGGGGCCCGCCGCGCCCTCGTCGACGACGCGCCAGGCGACGAAGTCGTCGTCGGCGTAGCTTCGCGGCGGCGCCGCGTCGGCGCAGCGCCAGGTCGCGCGCGCCGCGCGCACCTCGGCGTCGTGCTCGAGCCGCAGCGACGCCGCCGTGACCGGCGCCGTTTTCGGTGGCGTCGGCGGCGCCGCCGTCGTCGTCGCGAGCGCCCGGGCCGTCGCGGCGAAGAGCAGGACGTGCATTGGGATGTGCTTTTGATTGAGGGCGCTCACTTGTACCTATTGCACGTACGACACGATGACCATGCTTGGCAGGGTCAAACAACGACTCAGAACTTCAATCAAGCCCCGCACGATCGATGGGCCAAGGCCGAAACCCATCTCTTTAGGGCAGCGGCGCGCACCGTGGCTGTCGAACACACTCTCCTCGCAATGACCACAATGACCCATCGCACGATCGTCGCGGCCGGCGCCGCGGGCGTCTGCGCCTCGGCTCTGCTCTGGCAATGGCGCCGGCGCCCGAAGGCGCCGCTCGTGCTCACCTACCTCGCGGCCAAGGGCACCGGGGAGATGATACGACTCGCGCTCCACATCGGCCGCGTGCCCTTCGTCGACCGGCGCGTGAGCTACGAGGAGGTCGCCGCGCTGCGGCGCGCGGGCGCGCTCCCCTGCGGGCAAGTGCCGGTGCTCGAGGTCGACGGCGAGACCTACTGCCAGTCGGCGTCGATCCTCCGCTACGTCGGCAAAGCCGCGGGCCTCTACCCGGCGGACCCGGCGACGGCGCTGCGCTGCGACATGGTCTGCGACGCGCTCGACGAGCTGCGGCGGGACTTGAACCCGTTGTGGTGCGGGAATTCGGCGTCGATCGACGCGGCGCCCTCCGTCCGATCCCCGCGGCTTCAGGTACGGCGCCGCGCTCCGCCGCGACCCGACGACGGCGGCGCCGGGCGTGCCGCTGAGCGCGGAGCAGCGGGCCGCCGCCGCCGCGGCCGTGCGGGGCTCCTACCTGCCGACGGGCTTCCAACGGCTCGAGGCCGTCCTCGGGGATCGACCGTACTTTTGCGGCGGCAAACTCACGATCGCCGACGTCGCGCTCTTCGTCGACGCGTCGCAGATCCTCGACGGCGAGTTCGACGAGGCCCTCGGCGTCGGCGCGGCCGTCCTCGCGGACTGCCCCGGGCTCCGGCGCCTCTGCCTCCGCGTGCGGCGGCACCCGCGCGTGCGCGACTGGGCGAGGCCGAAATTCGACGCGAAGCTCCGGTAATCAACTTACCCCGCCTCGCTCCGGTAGTCTGTTTACCCCTCTTCGCTCCGGTAATCTGTTTACCCCTCTTCGCTCCGTAATCTTTTTCTTACCCGTCGCGCCCGGCGACGACGGCCGTGGCGCGGGCGAGGTCCGGCGGCGGCGGCGCCGTGACCTCGACGCGCGCGCCCGAGTCCGGGTGGTCGAACGCGAGGCGCCACGCGTGCAGCAGCGTGCGGTTCGCGGCGAAGGCCGCCGCGGCGCGCGCGTTGGCCTGGGCGTCGCCGTAGACGGGGTCGCCGAGCACGGGGCTCCCGACGTGGGCGAGGTGGACGCGGATCTGGTGCGTGCGGCCCGTGTCGATGGCGACCTGCGCGACGCAGCGGCGGCCGTCGGACGCGAGGACGCGGACGCGGCTCACGGCGGGCCGGCCGCCCGGTACGACGGCCATCTTCTCGCGGCGCGCCGGGTGGCGGCCGATGGGCGCGTCGATGACGAGCTCGTCGGCGCCGTCGGGCGGCGGCGGCGGCGGCCGCGCGAGCACCGCGAGGTACAATTTGGCGACGGTCCGCGCCTTGAACTGGGCCTGGAGCCGCCGCGTCGCGCGCGCGTTCCGGGCGACGACGATGGCGCCGGACGTGTAGCGGTCCAGGCGGTGCACGATGCCCGGCCGCGGCGTCGCCTCGGCGAAGACGCCGCCGCCGCCGCAGCGATGCGCGACGGCGTTCGCCAGCGTGCCCCGCCGCGCGCCCGGCGCCGGGTGCGTCACCATGCCCGCGGCCTTGTTCACGACCAGGAAGCTCGCGTCGTCGACGAGCACGTCCAGCGGCAGGTCCTCGGCCTCGACGGGCTTGTCGCCCGCGGGCTCCGCCGCGAACGCGTCCGCCGCGACGCCGTCGCCGGCCGCGACGCTCGCGGACTTGCGCGTCGCGACGGCGCCGTTGACGCGCACGGCGCCGCCGCCGATGGCCTCGGCCCACTCGCGCCGCGTGCGCTCCGGGAATTGCGCCGCGAGGAAGGCGTCGAGGCGCGCGGGCGGGCCGGCGCAGACCGCCTCGTAGGACTCCGGCGCGTCGACGTCGTCGTCGGCGCTGGCCCGCGGGCGCGATCCCGCGACGCGCGCGAACGTCGCGGGCGGCGGCGAGAAGGCGGCGACACCCAACAGGACCAGCAAGCGCACGAGGCGCAGCTCCATCAGCAGCATGAGGCTGTGGCAGCAGGATTCAGCGATAGCTTTTCCGCCAGCTCGAGCGCCTCCGCGGCCGCAGCCTCTCCGCCCCCTCCACACGCGTTTCGCAATATGGCCAAAGGCAAGCGCGCCCCAGTCGACGACGACAGCGACGCGTTCTCCGAGGAGGACCTCGACGAGTTCAGCGAGCATGGGTTGGACGAGGACGAGCCCGTCGCGGCCGACTCCGACGACGCGAGCAGCGACGCCGGCGACGACGGCAGCAGCGACAGCGGCGACGACGACGACGACGACGACGACGGCGAGGGGCTCCTGGACGAGCTGGACTACCAGCGGCGGCTCGCGCGCGCCCAGAGCGGCGGCGACGACGACGGCGACGACGACGACGACGACGACGACGGGAGCGTCGCGTCCGTCGAGGAGCGGACGACGAAGAAGGGCCGCGTCGTCTACCAGGTCGTGCTCTGCCCCGACACGGCGCCGTTCACGACGCGCGCGCTCGCCGACGAGTTCATGCGCGGCAAGAAGTACCGGAGCGCTCTAAAGCGCGAGCTCAGGGGCGTCCGGTCCGCGCGGCGCGGCCTCAAGGAGGCGGAGCTCACGGAGGCGCAGGTCGCGAAGCGCGACGCCAAGGCCGCCGCGAAGCGCGAGGAGAAGCGCGCGGCGAAGAAGGCGAAGCGCAAGGCCAAGGTCCTCGACGAGGCGACCATCGCCGCGCGCAAGGCCAAGTTCCAGCGGAAGAAGCAGCGCCGCGCCGCGCGCAAGGAGGCCGCCTAACGAACCTTAGACCCTGGCGACGGCGTAGACGTTGGAGCCGAGGTGGCACAGGTTCTGCCCCGTGGCCTGGAGGCCGCACGCGTGGCCGCAGGCCGGGTCGCTGCCGTACTTCTTGTGCCACCGGTGGGGCGTGACCATGGCGCTCGGGAAGCGGAAGAGGAGCTCCGCCGTCGCGTTCGCGAAGGCCGCGCTCGCGTAGTCCCAGAGGAGGTCGGCCTCGTTGAAGGCGAGGAAGGCGTCGTCCGGGTAGCGCGCGAGGAGCGCCTTGACGGCGCGGAAGGGCAGGTCCCGGGGCTTGCCGCAGGGCCCGTCGTCCAGGGCCACGCGGCGCCGCAGGTCCGGCGGCAGCGCCGCGTCGAGGTACGCGGCGACGGCCGCGCCGTCGCCGGCGACCTCGGCGCACGTCGCGACGAGCACGGCGCGCGCGGCGTCGCGGAGCAGGGCGCACAGGTTCGCCCGCAGGCCCGCGAGCTTGAGGGCCCGGGGCTGGAGCGAGTGCGCGTTGCCCGTTAGGGCGAGCCGCTCCTTCCGGCCCCCGCTCAGGTTCCCTCCGTAGAAGGGCACGACGGCCGCGGTCGCCGCGCGGAGCGGCGACGCGAAGGGCGGCGCCGCGGCGGCGGCGCAGTTCCGGTCGCCCTCGCGCCGTAACACCGCCGCGACCTTGGCCATGGCGGCGTCGAAGGGCGCCCTCGCTACGACGCTGTGCTCGTAGGCCGACACGTGGACGGCCCGGAAGCCCTCGGCCGCCGCCGTGCGGAAGACGGCGTCGGACTCGGCGAAGGCGAGGAAGGAGCCCGCCTCGAGGGGGCCGCCGCGGTCCCAGTCGCCGCGCTCGACGACGGCCCGCGGCGCGAGCCACCCTCCGGAGAACGCGTTCGTCTTCGACAGGCGCCTGCGCTCCGGCGCCGGCCGCTGCTCCGCGGCGACGCGCGCGTCGTCGCAGGCGCAGCGCTCCGCGGCGATGGTGCGCAGCACGAGGCAGGACACGAAGCAGCGCTCCGGCGCCGCGCCGCCGCCGTCGCAGGCCTCGGGCCGGAGCACCAGCCCCTCGCCGCGCGAGCCCCAGAGGCTGTCGCTCTTCGACGCCACGAGCCAGCAGCACGGCGGCGCGGCGCGCGCGCGCAGCAGCAGCAGCGCCAGGAGCCTCATGGCATCACTAAAAAAGCTCCTCGCACGCAGCCCATGCTCATCCTACGTCGGGCTGCGACAACGATGCCGTCGACATTATTGCCGTCCTTGCCGTCCTCTCTCGACGACTAAAACCCGGCGCGCCGCGGCGGCTCCCGACGCCCGGGAGCTGCGCGCGAACGCGAGGTCCGGCATGGCCGACGCCTGGGGCACGGTGACGCTGTCGTCGCTCGAGTTCAGCGGCGAGAAGGCCCAGCTCCCCTACGTCCAGGTCCTCGACGGGAAGAAGCGCGTGCTCTGCAAGACGGGCGTCGTCAGGGCGAGCGGCCCCGAGGCCGCGTCCTTCGGCGGCGAGGCGTTGGCCTTCGACGTCGGCGACGACTGCGGCGACGCGCTGCGGATCGACGTGCGCGAGAGCAAGACGTTCCACAAGGGCACGATCGGCGCCGCCGACGTGCCGACGGCCGCGCTCCTGAAACACGCGGCGACGGACGTGTCGCTGGCCCTGCGGCCCGGCGGCTGCCTCAAGCTGGTCGTCCGATTCGCGGATCGGCGGCCGCTCTACGGGTTGGGCCTCGAGGCCGCGTGCGCGCGCAACGGCGGCCGCCTGCCCCTCGCGGTCGAGGTGCTCGTCGCGGACCTCGATCGGCGCGCGCTCGCCCTGAAGGGCGTCTACCGCGTGCCCGGCGACTCGTCGGAGGTGCGCGACGTCGAGGACGCGCTCCAGGCCGCGGCGAACGCCGCGGCCGCCGCGCCGGGCGTGAGCGCGTGCGACGCGTCCGCCGTCGCGTCCGCGCTGAAAAAGTACTTTGCGAAGCTGCCCGTCGCGCTGCTGCGCGCCGACGGCGGCGTCTACGAGGCCTTCGTCGCCGCCGCGCGGGGCGTCGGCCCGGACGCGGCGACGAGCGTCGCGGCCTTCCGGGCCGCGCTCGCGCGGCTGCCGCGCGACGCGCGGTTTTCTGCTGACGCGCTCTTCGCGCACCTCCGCCGCGTCGCGGACCGGAGCGACGAGAACATGATGAACTCGACGAATCTGGGCGTCTGCTTCGGGCCGACGCTCTTCCACGCGGCCGAGGGCGGCGACCCGGCGCTCGGGCTCATGAACGTCAACGAGCACAACGCGGCCGTCACGTTCCTCGTCGAGCACGCGGCCGCGTGCTTCGGCGCCGAAGCGCCGGCGGCGCCCGCCGCCGCGGCGGCGGCGCCGCCGCTCCTGTCGTCGTCGCCGGGCGCGCCGCGCGACGACGCGGACCTCGCGGCGCACTTCGCGGGCGTCGACGACGACGGCGACGGCCTCGTCGACGGCGACGGCCTCGAGGCGCTGGCCTACTGCCTCGGCGTCTTCCCCGCGGCGGAGCCGGCCGCGCTCGCCGCGGCGCGCGCGGGGCCGCACGGCCGCTACGACGCGCGCGAGGTCGCCCGGTGGTGGCGCGCGGTCGGCGACGGCCGGCCCACGCCGCCGGCCCTCGACGCCGAGGCCTACACCATGGTCACCTACTTCCTCAGCTTCGACGAGGCCAAGGTCGGCTTCCTCGACGCGAACCAGTTCGCGAGCCTCCACGAGGGCCTCCTCGAGGGCGGCTACGACCTCCCGAACGCCGCCGACACCATGGACCTCATGGACGTCAACCGCAACGGTACCGTCTCCTACGCGGAGTTCATCGCCTGGTTCCAGGGCCTCCTCCGCAGCGCCGCCTCCGCGTGACGCGCGGCCCCGCCGCGGCGGGGCGCGCGCCGCTTTGATCTTACTTCCCCCGCGCCGGAACTCACGGGTCGCGCAAGATAGAAGAAGTTGCGGAAGCACCGGTGGGACTGGCGCCGGGACGGCAACAAAACGCCTAACAAAGACATCAGACTCAACGTCGGCGGCAGCATCCACCTTGAACCTCGCCGAAGCAGACGATGGCGGCCAGCGCAGCAATGATCGCGCGGCGCCTGGCGGCACCGCGCCTCGCCGCCCTGCGGTCGAGCTCGCGGTGCCTCGCGGGCTACGACCGCACGAAGCCGCACATGAATGTCGGGACGATAGGGCACGTGGACCACGGCAAGACGACGCTGACGGCGGCGATCACGAAGGTGCTCAGCGAGCGGGGCATGGCCGAGGCCACGGCCTTCGGGGACATCGACAAGGCCCCCGAGGAGCGCGCGCGCGGCATCACGATCAACAGCGCCCACGTCGAGTACGAGACGGACAGCCGCCACTACGCGCACGTCGACTGCCCCGGGCACGCGGACTACGTCAAGAACATGATCACGGGCGCGGCGCAGATGGACGGCGCCATCCTCGTCGTGTCGGCGACGGACGGCCCCATGCCCCAGACGCGCGAGCACATCCTGCTCGCGCGCCAGGTCGGCATCCCGCACCTCGTCGTCTTCATGAACAAGTGCGACGCCGTCGACGACGAGGAGCTGCTCGAGCTCGTGGAGATGGAGATCCAGGAGCTGCTCGACTTCTACGACTTCCCCGGCGAGGACACGCCCATCATCCGCGGCAGCGCGCTCTGCGCGCTCAACGGCGAGAAGAAGGAGCTCGGCGAGGACAAGATCGTCGAGCTCATGGACGCCGTCGACTCCTACATCCCGCTGCCGGACCGCGACGTCGACAAGCCCTTCCTCATGCCCGTCGAGGACGTCTTCTCCATCGCCGGCCGCGGCACGGTGGTCACGGGCCGCGTCGAGTCCGGCGTCATCAAGACGGGCGACGAGATCGAGATCCTCGGCCTCAGCGACGCGCCGACGAAGACGACGTGCACGGGCGTCGAGATGTTCAAGAAGTCGCTGGACCGCGGCGAGGCCGGCGACAACGTCGGCGCGCTCCTGCGCGGCGTGCGCCGCGACGAGGTCCAGCGCGGCCAGATCCTCGCGGCGCCGGGGACGGTGCCGATGACGAAGAAGTTCGAGGCCGAGGTCTACGTGCTCACCAAGGAGGAGGGCGGCCGCCACACGCCCTTCTTCTCCAACTACCGCCCCCAGTTCTTCATCCGCACCGCCGACGTCACGGGCACCGTCGACCTCCCGGACGGCGTCGAGATGGTCATGCCGGGCGACAACGCGACGCTCAACATCGAGCTCATCTCCCCCCTCGCCATCACCGAGGGCCTCAGGTTCGCCCTCCGCGAGGGCGGCAAGACCGTCGGCGCCGGCGTCGTCTCCAAGGTCGTCTCCTAGGGCGCCGCCGGGGTTCCGGGGTAAGGACGTCCCCCCGATGTCAACGTCGTTAGTTCGCGCCGGCGTCCGCGCCGTCGACGGAGACGTCGACGAGCTGGGCCGCCGCGGCGTCGGGCGGCGCCGGCGCCGGGGGCGCCGGGCTCGCGGGCGACGCCGGGGACGTCGGGCTCGCGGGCGCGGAGAGCGCCTCCTTGAGCGACGCGACGAGCGCGTCGACGTCGACGGGCTCCTCGCCGCCGCCGACGTCGCGGCGGAGCTCGTCGATCTTGTCGGCCATGGCCGCGAGGGCCGCGGCGCGGCTCACGCCCTGGCGGTCCCGCTCGCGCTGGAGGATCGCGCCGAGGCCGTCGAGGTGCGACGCGATGGCCGCGCGCGCGGCCGGGTCCGTCGCCTCGGCCGGCGGCGCGAGCGCGGCGGCGACCGCGCCGCGCGGCGACGGCGGCGGCGACGCGTAGGGCACCGGTGGCGGGTACGCGCGGGGGTCGACGTAGACGTAGGGCGGCCGCGCGTAGGCGTAGGCCGGCAGCGGCGCGCCGTAGGGCGGCGCGGCGCCGCCGTAGGGCTGCGGCGGGCCGTAGTACGCGCCGTCGCCGTAGTACGCGCCGTACGTCGCCGGCGGCGGCGGCGGCGGCGGCCCGCCGGCGAAGTCGTAGGCCGGCGGCCAGGACTTGCGCGGCTTCGCCGGCTCCGTTTGCGCGCCGCCGGGCCAGTCGGGCCGGCGCTGCTTCTCGGGCTTCGTGTGGATGGGCCGCACGAGCACGGGCTTGCCGTCGATGACGAGCTCCTCGAGCGCGAGCACCGCGTCGCGCGCGACGCCCGACGAGAAGCTGAGGAAGCCGTACTCGGGCACGCCCCGCGGCACGGCCGCGTGGAGGTGCGCGGCCTGGCTGTAGGACCCGAGGTAGGCCCGCAGCGTCGCGAGGCGGCTCGACTCCTCGCCGGGCGGCGTCGCCGTCGCCCAGCGCACGTAGAGGTCGCGCGCGGACTCGGCCGCGCCCGCGGACCGGTCCGGGTCCTTGCGCGCCGCCGCGCGGTAGCGCTGGCCCGTGAGCACCTCGAACGCCAGCAGCTTCGACTCGGGCGTGAAGAGCATGTGCTGGCCTGTGTGCAAATCAACCAGTGAGCTGGGACGTCGGGGCCAAACTTGAGAATTCTCTAGCTCGGTCAAATCGAAGTCGATTCGGCTGATTTCTGGACGAATCGATTGCTCTCAGCGAGTTCTCGAAGCACGGCGGAAGTGCTCGTGTCAAAACATTCGCATACGCGCACATTGAAGTCGGGTTGAAGATTTGATTTGCACACAGGTGCTGGCTCTGGTGCCGCGCGCACTTGCAGCCCGCCTCGGACACGAAGCGCGCGTGGCACCTGGGCAGCACGAGGGTGATTCAACGTCGCTTCAACGTGAGTGTTCCGCGCGCGCGCGTTCCGGAAAAGGCATCCACGCTTCGAGACCGTTCCGAGAGATGATCGCTCGTCCCAAAATCAGCCAAAACGAGTGGAAAACGGCCGAGATATGAGCCTTTGAAGTTGGGAATTTCGCTCTCTTTTGCTGCCCCGCGTGGCGCGTGTGCGGGTCGACGACCCTCAAATCCTCGAGGGCGCAGAGCTCGCTCTGGAGGAAGGGGAGCACGCGCGCCTGGTCGATCTCCGCGATGCCGCCGAGCCAGACCTGGAGCAGCGCGTCCGTGCCGCGGATGAACTTCCGCGTCTCCGCGGGCCGCGGCGCCTTGTCGCCTGTGGAAGGGGAATGTGACCGCGCGGGGGCGCCTCGTTCGCGCCGGCGGCGCGCCCGGCGGGCGGCAGACGAGCCAGCGGTCCTGGCGGTGGCCGTCGCGGGGCCCGTCGAAGGAGCCGAGGAGGACGAGCGCGTCCCTCGCTTCCACGGACGCGAACCCCAGACTCCCGTGCACGGGGCACTCGTGGAAGAACTGCTGGATGAACTCGCGCTTCGACGGCCGGCGCCGTCCGCCGGGGCTCGACCCGCCGCTCCGCCGGCCCGGCGGCGCCTCGGCCTCCGACGGCGTCGGCGACGGCGGCTCCGCGTCGCGCGGCGGCGGCGCCGGCGCGTCGCCGCCGGAGTCGCTCCGCGGCCGCCGCGGGCCGTCGGGCGACTCCGGCGGCGACGGCCCGCGGTCCAGGAGCGCGTGTTCGAACTCGTCGAGCTTCGCCTCGAGGGCCGCGGCGTCCTCGACGAGCGGCGCGACGTCGGCCTCGGGCATTTCCAAGAGCGCGGTCGCGAGCTCCGCCGCGCGCGCGGGCCGCAGCGCCGCGACGCGCGGGTAGAGCGCCGCGGCGAGGGCGCGGCGCCGCGCGAGCTCCGCGGGCGTCGCCTCCGTCGCCAGCGACGCCGCCGCGGCCGCGGCGACGCGCGCGATGGCCTCGGACGTCGGCGAGCCGCGCGGCCGGGGCCGCGCGGCCGCGACGTCGACGTCCGTGGGCTTCAGGACGGTCGCGAAGTGGCGCGTGAGCACGCCGGCCATGGCCCGCGCGTCGAGGTGCGTGCCGCCGTCCCAGGCGACGACGGCCGTGGGCTTGGGGCCCGGGCAGCTCCGCACGTTTAGCGGGCACGGCCGGCCGTCGGGGAGCCGCGCGACGTGGCGCGCGGCGAGCTCGTGGGCCTCGCGCGCGTTCTTCGTCGGGAAGCAGACGACGGCGGTGGACTTGGCCGCGTCGATGTGGAGCGCGTGGAGCCCGCAGAACTCGGCCTCGTACCACGCGCGGAACTGTTCCCGACTCGGCGCGTAGCCGCTGAGGCCCGCCGCGGGCGGCAGCGGCGCCGCGGCGACGAGGCAGCGCACGTTGGACCGCCCGCGCGGCGCGAGCACGGGCGGCGGCGCGAGCACGGGCACGGCGTCCGGGTTCGGCGACGGCCGCGACACGGGCTCGGGCACGTTCCAGTTCTTCGCGTCGCGCCGCGTCGCGGGGCTGTGGCCCGGCGCGTGGGCCGGCGGGCTTCTGGGCGCGCCCGCGGGCCCGCAGGAGCCCAACAAGCGCTTCGTGAAGGACGGCGCCGACGGCGCCGACGCCAGGAGGCGGTCGACGGCCGCGTCGACGCGGCGCCGGTCGCCGCCGTCGACGCCGAGCCGCGCCGCGACGACGCCGCGGTGCGCGCCGTCCTCGTTGAGCGACTTCAACAGCGCCGCCGCGTGGCGCCGCGCGTTCTCGCCCGCCGCCGCGGCCGCGCCGTCGCCGGGCTCGCCGCCGAGGCGGTCGCTCAGAAGGCCCGCGAGCGCCGCGACGCCGCGCTCCGACGCGACGGCCGCCGAGTTCTCCGGGCAGTGGCACGTGAGGTTCCGCAGCGCGCCGGCGGCGGCCTCGGCGCAGCCCGGCGACAGGCGCTTCCGGCAGAGGTCCAGCAGCGCGCCGAGCGCGCCCTCGTTCGCCTGCGGTGGTCGCGATCGGACCGGCGGCCGCCGAAGACCGGCGGACGCGGGCGCGCGCGATGGCGACCTGGTTCCCCGGGTCGTCGTAGGCCAGGTTCCAGAGCGCCCGCGCCGCGGCCTCGGCGGCGGCGACGGCGTCGCCGCCGTTCCAGCCCGGCCCGACGCGGCAGAGCGCGACGAGCGGCGCGAGCCCGCCCGCGGAGACGATCGCTGCCGCGTTCTCCGCGGTCACGGCCAGGTTCCGCAGGCAGCCCGCGGCGGCCTCCTTGCAGCCCACGCTCGCGTTCGCGCCGCCCATGAGGGCGACGAGGGGCGAGATGGCGCCCGCGGCCGCGATGGAGACCTTCAGGTCGTTGTTCGTGGCGAGGTTCCACAGCGTCCGCGCGGCGGCCTCGCGGCACGCGGCGGACTTGCGCTCGTCGCCGAGGAGCTCCACGAGGGGCCGGATGCCGCCGAGGCCCGCGATGAGCACCTGCGGGGCCGCGGGGGGTCCGGCGGGACCGGCGCGACCGCGCGAACCTTGGCGTCGTTCGCGAGCGCGACGACCCGGAGCTCCTCGGCCGCGGGGCCGCTCCGGTGGTCCTTGGCGTTGCAGGCCCTGCGCCGGGGGAGTCGTAAGCGAGGCGCGAAAGGCGCGGCGCGGCGCGACGCGCCCGATGAGCCGGATGATCTGCGCCTCGTCGACGGCCACCGTCGACGCCTGGACGTCCTGCTGCGCCGGGACGCAGCTCCCGAACTGCGACTTGCGCCGGGCGCGCCGCCGGCCCGAGGCGCCGAGCATGGCCGCGCCGGAATCCGAAGGCTAGGCGGCGCGAAGAACGTAGTCGAGCAGCATGCGGGGGCTGCCTCAAGAATCGCTTTATGAAACTCCCTGAAGTTTGGTATCCTTTGTTTGAACCTTGATTGAAACATACGAAGCCAATTGAAGCCGTCTCGCGCGGGCGCGTCGACGTGTGCCTGTGGCAGCTCCGCGGCCGCCTGGCAGCGTCGCTGCCGTCCAAGCAATGCGCGTCGCGCTGCTACTCGTCGCCAGCGCCGGCGCCTTCGTCGCACCGTCGTCGCGCCTCGCACGAACGCCGACGCGACGAGCCGCCACGACAGACTTCCGCGACCTGCTGGACCGCTACGACGGCTTCCTGCTGGACCAGTTCGGCGTCGTCCACGACGGCAAGGCCTGCTACGCCGGCAGCGCCGAGGCCGCGCGCGAGCTGCAGAAGCTGGGGAAGCGCGTCGCCATCCTCTCGAACAGCAGCAAGCGCAAGCAGGACACGATCACGCGCTTCTCGGCGCTCACGGGCTGCGCGTGCACGCTGCTCGAGTCCGCGGACGTCGTGCCGGGCGTGCCGCTCTTCTCCGCGTTCACGTCCGGCGACCTCGTGCACGACGCGCTCCGCGACCTCCAGGCGCCGGAGCCGCGGCCGTCGTCCGTCGAGCTCTTCCAAGGGCTCGTGAGACCGGGCGCGAACCGCGTCGTCGTCCTCGGCAACGGCGACGACGACGGCGACTATGTGAAGGCCGCGGGTCTCATCGCGGCGCCCGTGGACGACGCGGACTTCCTGCTCGCGCGGGGCCTGTTCGCCGTCGTCGACGGCCCCGAATCGACGCCCCTGGCCTTCGACGGCGCCGACGCCTGCGACGCGCTGCTCGCGGCCGCGGCCGCGCGCGACCTGCCCATGGTCGTCGCGAACCCGGACCTCGTGCGCCCGGACGGCGCCGCGTCGCCCATGCCCGGCGTCGTCGCCGCGCGCTACGCGGAAAAATTCGGCGGCCGGTGCGCGCTCGTCGGCAAGCCGCACGCGGCCATCTACGAGCGCGCGCTCGGCGCGCTGGAGCGCGCGGGCGTCGACCGGGCCCGCGTCGCCGCCGTCGGCGACAGCATGCACCACGACGTCGCCGGCGCCGCCGCCGCGGGCGTCGACTCGGTCCTCGTCGCCGGCGGCGTCCACGCGGCGGAGCTCGGCGTGGCCCAGGGCGCGCACGAACCCGTCGACGCGGACCGCCTCGCGGCGTTCCTCGCGGGCTTCGACGCGCAACCGACGCACGTCGTCCCCGGGTTCACGCTCTAACACCGGGTCCGCGCCCTAACGCGCCGTCCCCGGGTTCGCGCGCTAGGTCGATGTGGGCCCATACTCGCGGGCGGGGGAGAGGGGGGGGTGGCACCGCCCCCGAATTGCGGCCCGTCTCACGTCGCCGGGGTCTGGTCGACATAGGTGGACGGGTCCGATGTTCCGTTGCCGTTGGCCGCGGCGACGTGCGCGGCGACGACCTTGGGGATCGCCGACTCGAGGAGCGCGGCCCGGTCCGCGTCGCCGCTCGCCTCCTCGGCTAGAGCCTCCTTCAACGCGGCGACGATGGATTTCACGTCGGGCTGCGCCGCGGCGCGGACCTGCGCCCGGAGCTCGTCGAGCTGGAGCGACATCGTCGCGACGACGCGCGCGCGGTCCTCGTCGTGGCGGCGGCGCTCCTCGCGGAGCACGTCCCCAAAGTTGGCGAGCTGCTGGAGGATCGTCGACTCCTGGGCCGACGCGGCGGTGCCGCCGGCCGTGATGATGATGGGCGCGGGCAGCGGGAGCGACTCGCAGCCGGGCTTCGGGCTGCCCGGGCCGCCGCGGAGCGCCGCGGCCGCCGCCGACGCCGCGGCGGCGGCCTGGGCGCCGTTCGACGGCCGCCGCGCGGGGCTGGACGGCTCGTCGAAGGACGGCGACGACGCGACCGTCGACGCGGAGTCGGAACGGTCGCGCGGCCGCCACCAGCTGTCGACGTAGGACCCGCCCCCGGCCTGGCCGCGCCGCGGCGAGTGGCGCGGCATGGTCGGCAGGGGCACGACGGGCGAGTCGGGCTCGGCGATGACGTAGGTGTAGGGCAGCTTCCGCGGCGACCCGGGCTGGCGGTCGCCCGGCGCGCGCTCGCGCGACGCGCGCGCGTTCGCGAGGGCCACGCGCGCGGGGTCCGCGAGGTCGGCCCGCCCGCTCAGCTTGCGCGCGGGCACGGACGCGGGCACCGTGCCCGGCGCGTGCTGCACGGGCCGCACGTGGACGTGGTGGCCGTCGATGCGGACGCCGCCGAGCGACAGCACCGCGTCGCGCGCGACGCCACTCGAGAAGCTGAGGAAGCCGTACTCGGGCTGGACGCCCTTGGGCACGGACGCGTGGAGCCGCGCCGCCGTCGTGTAGGAGCCCAGGTACTCGCGGAGCGTCGCGAGGCGGCTCTCGGACTCGCCGGGCGGCGTCGCCGTCGCCCAGCGGACGTAGACGTCGCGCGGCCGCGGCGCCGACGCGCCGTCGGCGCGCAGGGCGCCGCGGAGCCGCGACCCGCCGAGCACCTCGAAGGCCAGTAGCCGCGACTCCGCCGTGAAGAGGAGGTGCTGCGCCTGGCGCGCGACGCACGCGCGGCCCGCCTCGAGCTCGAACGTCGCCTTCGCCGTGCGGTCGTCGACGGCCTTGAGCGCCTCCAGGGCGCAGAGCTCCTTGGCCAGGAAGGGCAGGATGCGCTTCGTGCCCACGGCGGCGATGCCCCCGAGCCAGACCTGGAGCTGCGCGGACACGCCGCGCGCGCGGCTCTTCGACTCCGCGCGCTTGACGAACTCGTCGGCCGTCGCCGGCAGGGCCTCGCCCGGGGGCCGCCGGAGCATCCAGCGGTCGCCGCGGCCGTCGGGGCCCTTGGGCCCGTTGAGGTAGCCCAGCAGCACGACCGCGTCGCGCGCCTCCAAGGACGCGAACTCGATCTCGCCGACGACTTTCCCGCCGGGCTTGCGCCGCTTCTCCGTGGACCCGTTGGTTTGCGGCGCGTCGGGCGTCGGCGCCGTCGACCCGGCGCTGCTCGCCTCGCCGTTGTCTAGATTCGCGACGGCCTCGGCGACCTTGTCGTCCAGCGCCACGGGCGACTCCAGGAGCTTGAGGAGCTCGTCCTTGGAGTGCGAGTCGAGGAACTTAGACGTGAGCTTGTCCGCGAGGTCCGGCTGGCTCAGCTCCACCAGGGGGAACAGGCGCGCCCCCAGCGTCTCGCGGTCCTCGGCGCTGAGGCCGTCGCCGCCGCACCCGGGCTCGTCGCCGTCGCTCGCGGAGTTGGCGAAGTCGTCGTTGAGGTCCTTGCCGGGCACCGTCCGCGTCTCGTAGGCCGGCTCCTCGCCGAGGTCCACGGTCACGGACGTCGGCCGCAGGCACCGCGAGAAGTAGTGCATCAAGGCCTTGGCCATGGTCCCCGCGTCGAGCTCGGAGTCGCCGGCCCACTCCGCGACGGCCGTCGGCTTCCTTCCCGGGCAGGACCGCACGGTCAAAGCCACGGACGAGCCGTCCGGGAGGGGCACGTCGTGGCGCGTCATGCGCTCGACGACCTCGCGCGCGAGGCGCGTCGGGAAGCACAGCACGGCCGTCTTGCGGCTCCGGTCGATGTGGAGCGCGTGGAGGCCGCACATCTCGGCCTCGTACCACGCCGAGAACGCGGAGCCGCTCGGCACGAAGCCGCTGAGCTCGTCGCTCCCCGGCGGCGGGCAGGCGGCCATGGTCGCCTTGTAGCACCCCGGCGGCGCCGCCGGCGGCGCCCCCGAGGCGTCGCAGGCCGTCGTCTCCGCGCCGTAGACGTCCGCCGCGGGGCCCTCGGACGACACGAAGTAGCCGCGGCCCGTCGTCGGCAGCGCGACCATGGGGCTCGGCGGCTCCTCGACGGTGTAGTCGTGGCCGTTGGCGACGCCGGGCGACGGCGGCTCGTCGCTGTAGGCCGGCGACGGCGGGTCAACCGGCGGCGGCGGCGGCTCGTGGCGGTGGTACCGCGGCGCGTGCTGGTAGCCGTAGGGGTTCGGGTAGGGGTGCTGCGGGTGGTTCTGGTAATTCTGGTGGTAGCGGGGCTTGCGGGGCTGGTGGTAGTAGGGCTGGTGGTAGGCGTAGCCGTACGCGTCGACGTAGGGCTGCTGTTTCGGCGCGTAGTAGCCGTTGTTCTGGCGCCGCGGCGCCGCGGCGTCGCCGCTGTAGGTGCGGGGCCGCACGTGGAGCGTGCGGCCGTCGACGCGCACGTTGCCCAGCTCCAAGACGGCGTCGCGCGCGACGGCGTTGCCGAAGAGGAGGAAGCCGTACTCGGGCTTGGCGGCCTTGACGCGCCGGCCCGGCCGGCCGCACGTCTGGAGCCGCGTCGCGGCCGTGTAGTGCGCCAGGTAGTCCGCCAACGCCTCGAGGCGCGCGGCCTTCTCGTCCGTGGGCGTCGGCGTCGCCCAGCGCACGTACAAATCGTTGCGGTGCTGGTTCTTGACGACGCCCGGGTCGAGCACCTCGAACGCGAAGAGCCGGCCGTCGGCGGTGAAGAGCAGGTGGAGCGGCTGGTGCCGCAGGCATTTGCAGCCCGCCTCGAGCTTGAACTGGGCCACGGCCGTGTGGGCGTCGACGGCCGTGACGCCCTCGACGGCGCAGAGCTCGTCGGCGAAGAACTTGAGCACGCGGTCGCCGTCGAGGTCCGCGATGCCGCCGAGAAACGCGCCCGCGCCGCGCTTCGTGCGGCCCGCGTCCTGGCCGTTGCCGCGCTTCGGGAGCTTGCGCACGAGCCAGCGGTCGCCGCGGCCGTCGTCGCTCCGCGGGCCCGCGAGGTAGCAGAGGTGGGACACCGCGTCGCGGACCTGCCAGTGGTCGAACGCCAACGTGCATTTCACGCGCGACTCCGACATGAGGCGCCGGATCATGGCCCGCTTCGACGGCGGCGGGTCGGGCGGCGCGCCGGGCGACGCGGGCGGCGACGCGGCGTTGGCCCGCGTGATGCCGTGGGCCTCGAGGGTCGCGACGGCCTCCGCGACCTTCGCGTCGAGGAGCGCGGGCGACTCCAAGAGGCGGACGAGGTCGGCCTCGGACATCTCGAGGAACATGCCCGTGAGCTTGCCCGCGAGCTCGGGCTGGCTGAGCTCGATGAGCGGGTAGAGCCGCGCGCCGAGCGCGTTCTTGTCCTCGCCGGTCGGCGCGGGCGCCGGGGGCGGGTCGCCGCCGCCGGTCTCCGCGGCGGCCGGCGCGGCGACGTCGACGGCCGCGGGCTTGAACATGGTCGAGAAGTAGGACATGAGGCTCGACGCCATGGTGTGGGCGTCGACGTCGCTGCCGACGTCCTCCCACTCGGCGAGGGCGATGGGCTTGCTGCCCGGGCAGCTCCGGATCGTGAGGACCGCGACGCGGCCGTCGGGCAGCGGCACCGCGTGGCGCGCCATGAGCTCGACGACGTCGCGCGCGTTGCGCGTCGGGAAGCACAGCACGGCCACCTGGCGCGCGTTGTCGACGTTGAGCGCGTGGAGGCCGCACATCTCCGTCTCGTACCACGCGCGGAACGCCGCGGGGTCGGGCACGTAGCCGCTGAGCCGGTCGCGGCTCGGCTCGGGCCCCGGGTTCAGCTCGAGGAGGAAGGGGCCGCTCGGATTGTCGGGACCGTCGTAGCCGGGCACCCACTCCTGCGGAGGCGCCGCCGGCGCCGCCATGGCGCGAGGAGCCTCGGACGGGGCTGCCCGGTGAGGCGGCGGCAGCCGCGGCGACCGCCGGGGCCGCGGCGGTTCCTGCGCGCGGCGCCGGGGCGGCGAGTCTTCCGGGCCGCGACCGCGTCCGCCGCCCCGGAACTCCGCGGAACGGGGCCGCCGCCGTCTTCCGACCCCGGAGGAGCTCTCAGAGGGCAGCCTGTGGCTGTGGTGCTCGGTATTCGCTCGACGTTGGACCGGATGCTGCAACCGACGGTGCCGTGCGCTTCAATGCGCTTCAACAGATCTTCAACTAACTCCGCCTCGACGCTCGAGCTGCTCGCCTGCACAGCGACTTCCGCCTCGCGCCTCGTCGTGCCTGCGACGCACCCGGGTGCTTGCGTCTCGCGCTCGCGACACCGCCCGCACGCGACGCGAAGGCCGCGCGCGCGACGCGCCGCCGCTCGCCGCCCGTGTTCCCCGCGCGCCGACCGCGCGCCGACGCCTCGCCATGGCGCCGCAGCAGAACAAGCGCATCCTCTACGTCGGCGGCCTCACGGAGGAGGTCACGGAGGAGATCCTCCACGCGGCCTTCATCCCCTTCGGCGAGCTCGTCGAGGTCAACATCCCCAAGGACCACGCGTCGAAGACGTCCGACGGCAACCGCGGCTTCGCGTTCGTCGAGTTCGAGCTCGAGCCCGACGCCGACGAGGCGCGCTTCAACATGGACGGCGCCGAGCTCTTCGGCCGCGTGCTCCGCGTCAACGTCGCCAAGGCGCTCACGCACAAGCTCGGCTCGTCGAAGCCCGTCTGGTCCGCGGACTCGTGGTTCCAGAACCTCAGCGAGGACGGCACCGCGCCCGCCGCGCCGTCGTGACGGGGGCATAAGTGAGCACGAAGCGCCGCGCGCCCCGCGGTGGGCCCTCCCGAGTACTTCGCGCGTTAGAACGCGCCGACGCTCCCCGCGCGGGCGACCTCGTACTGCCAGTGACTGGACCCCGTCGTTCTCGTACCAGGCGACCGTGTCGCTCTCGTGGGACCCGGCCAGCGCGTCGACGTCGCCGTCGCCGTCGAGGTCGACGGCGAAGGCCGAGCGGTCGGACGCCCACGTGATCACCCGCCGCGAGAAGCCCTCGGCGCCGTCGTTCTCGTACCACGCGACGAAGTTGTCGTTGGCGGAGCTCGCCAGCACGTCGACGTCGCCGTCGACGTCGACGTCGACGGCGAAGACGGAGTTGGCCCCGTTGACGAGCGTCGTGATGATGCGCTCGCTGAAGGACACGCTGCCGCAGGCCGCGTCCGACGCGTAGGCCCGCGACAGGAGCGCGAGGACGGCGAGGGCCCGCATGCGCTGGCTCGTCCCGATCAGGGGCAGCGTTCCCACACCCCCGCTTCGCTGGCTTCTCCCCATCATCTCAGATCATCCCATAGAAGCCAGCAATGGAGTCGGGGAATTTGTTTAGAATTTGTTGACGGCAATAGCCTCAGCATCGACTGCAACACCACATGTCTCAGCGATGATGCCGCAAGGCCAGCGCGGCACCGGGAATTGACAATCCCGTCCTTGGACCTGCCGCGGCGCCGCGAAACACAGCCGCGCCAGGCAGCAAAGCGCCGCTCGGCAGCAAAGCAGCACCTACCACACGCGCCCCGCGCACGCGAGGCGGCCGCGGTCATCACTCAGAAGCGCTCGTCCAGTCCTAAAAAGACCAGAGAAAAAGCATGCTCGGCCTGCGGTCCGCGCTCCGGAGCACCGCGCGCGGCGCGGCCCTGGTGTCCCCGCCGCGGTCCCTGAGCACGCTGCCGTCGAGCTTCGAGGAGATGGAGCGCCTCGACCCCGGCGGCGCCGCCTACGCGCGGTCCGTCAAGAAGCTCGGCAAGCTCCTCGGCGCCCAAATGGTGCAGCACGGCGACGCCGCGCAGGTCGCCGTCGTCGAGCGCCTGCGGCACCAGGCGCGGCGCTGGCGCGACGCGCTCCACGCGGGCGCGGAGAACGAGGCCGCGGACCGCTTCGCGACCATGGCCGCGGAGGTCGCGACGCTGAAACCGGCGGCCTTGAGAGACGTCGCGCGCGCGTTCGCGCACTTCCTCGCGCTGTCCAACGCCGCGGAGCAGGACCAGCGCGTGCGCCACCTCGCCACCCAGCGCCTCGGCGGCTCCGCGCTCTTCCCGGAGAAGCGCGACTCCTGCGCGGGCGTCGTCGCCGGCCTCTTAGACGAGGGCGTCGCGCCGGCGGCCGTCGTCGACGCGTTGCTCGCGCAGAAGACGGAGATCGTGCTCACGGCGCACCCGACGGAGGTGCACCGGCGCACCCTCCTCGCGAAGCACCGCCGCGTCGCCGAGCTGCTCTGCCAGCTCGACGCGTTCCCGGCGGGGTCCTACGAGGTCGGGCAGCTGGAGACGGAGCTCCGCGGCGTCGTGTCGGCGCTGTGGGGCAGCGACGAGCTCCGCCGCGCGAAGCCGTCGCCCCAGAAGGAGGCGCGCGGGGGGCTCGCCGTCGTCGAGACGTCGCTCTGGGAGGCCGTGCCGGCGTTCCTCCGGAAGTTGGACGCGACGCTCGCGCAGCACGGCGGCGCCCTGCCGCTCGACGCGTCGCCCGTGGCTCTGGCGTCGTGGATGGGCGGCGACCGCGACGGCAACCCGAACGTCGACGCCGCCGTGACGCGGTCCGTCGTCGCCGCGCAGCGCCGCAAGGGCGCGAGCCTGCTCATCGTCGAGCTCGACGCGCTCCGCCTCGACCTCTCGGTGACGGGCGCGAGCGACGCCGTGGTCGCGCTCGCGAAGACCTTCGCGGGCGACGAGCCCGTCCGCGAGCCCTACAAGGCCGTCTGCGACGGCTTCATCGGCCGCCTGCGCGCGACGATCCGCTGGGCCGACGGCGCGCTCGACGAGGCCGAGTGGCCCACGGCGTCGCGGAATTCCTTGGCGAGCCGCGTCGGCCGCACGGCCAAGGTCGACCCGCCGGCGACGGAGCCCCTCTTCGACGCGACGGAGCTCGCCGCGGCGCTCCGGGCCATGCACGCGTCCCTCGAGGCCCAGGGCTACGGCGAGCTCGCGTCCGGGCGCCTCGTCGACGCGATCCGCCGCGTGAACGCGTTCGGCCTCCAGCTCTGCCCGCTGGACGTGCGCCAGGAGTCGACGCGCCACGCCAACGCCGTCGACGCGCTCCGCGCCTTCGCCGGCGTCGGGGCCCGCGGGTCCTACGCGGCCCTCGACGACGACGCGAAGATCGCGTGGCTCGCGGACGAGCTCGAGACGGGCCGCCCGCTGCTCCGCCGCGGCGACTTCGAGAAGCTCGTGGACGGCGACTTCGTCGAGGACGCCGTGGACCGCGACGTGCTCAAGACCTGCGCCTACGTCGCGGAGGCGCCGCCGGACACGTTCGGCGCGTACGTCATCAGCCAGGCGACGTCGGCCGCGGACGTGCTCGCCGTCGAGCTCCTGCTCCACGAGGCCGGCGCGGCGAGCGACCGGTCCAACTGCACGCGCGTCGTGCCCCTCTTCGAGACCCTCGACGACCTCAACAACGGGCCCGCGTCGCTGCGGCGGCTCTTCTCGTCGCCGGGCTACCTGGACCGCTGCGGCCGCAAGCAGGAGATCATGGTGGGCTACTCCGACTCGGCCAAGGACGCGGGGCGCTTGGCGGCCTGGTGGGCCCAGTACGAGGGCCAGGAGAAGATGCTCGCGGTCTGCGACGAGTTCGGCGTCGAGGCGACGTTCTTCCACGGCAAGGGCGGCACGGTGGGTCGCGGCGGCAACCCGGAGACGTACCGGGCCATCCTCGCGCACCCGCCGAACACGATCGACGGCCGCTTCCGGGTCACGGAGCAGGGCGAGATGATCGCCTTCAACTTCGGCGAGCCGCGCGTCGCGGAGCGGACGCTCGACATCTTCTCCGCGGCCGTGCTCCGGGACAAGCTCGGCGACGCGTCGGACCGCGCGGTCAAGCCCGAGTGGCGCGCGACCATGGCGAAGCTCTCGGAGACGTCCTGCGCGGCCTACCGGGCCCTGGTGCGCGAGGACGCGGATTTCGTGCCCTACTTCCGGAAGGCGACGCCGGAGCTGGAGCTCGCGGCGTTAAACGTCGGCTCGCGGCCCGCGAAGCGGAACCCCAAGGGCGGCGTCGAGAGCCTGCGGGCCATCCCCTGGATCTTCGCCTGGACGCAGACGCGCCTGGGCCTGCCGGCCTGGCTCGGCATCGGCGACGCCTTCGCGGCGGCCGACGGCGCGGAGCTTCGCGCCATGTACGAGGAGTGGCCCTGGTTCAAGACGAACGTGGACCTCATCGAGACGCTCCTCGCCAAGCTCGAGCCGGAGATCGCCAAGCACTACGACGCCGTGCTCGTCGGCGGCGGCGAGCCGCGGCTCGCGGCGCTCGGCGACCGGCTGCGCGGCGCGCTCGCGAACACGACGGACGAGGTCCTCGCCGTGTCGGGCCGCGGCGCGCCCGCGGAGGGCAACGAGCTCCTCATGCGCGCGCTCAAGCTCCGCAACCCCTACGTCGACGTCCTCAACGTGCTCCAGGTCGAGTGCCTCCGCCGCATCCGCGCCGCGGACGACGGCGAGGCCAAGGACGACGACGCGCTCGACCTCGACGACGCGCTCCTCATCTGCATCAACGGCATCGCCGCCGGCATGCAGAAGTCCGGCTAGAGAGACGCCGGCCCCCTGTGTATCCCCCCCCTCCCCCCCGTCGTCTGCCCGTAAGAGAATCATAAGCGAGTCGCGACGTCGAAAGGGGGGCTCTTGTGTCTTAGGCTTCGCCGGCCGCGCGCCGGCGGTCACTTGGCGTTCTTCCGCTGCTGCTGCTTGAGCTTGTTCACGGCGCGGGCGAGCTTCCAGCGGAAGAGGGGGTTCTTCTCCGCCTTCTCGAGGAGGGCCTTGAAGTTCTCGAAGTCGACGCCGCTCTGCTTCACGAGCGCGGCGGCTTGCGCGGGGAACTTGGCGCAGGTGCCGCGGACCTTGGGCGACATGAGCGGGAGGAGCTCGCTGTCGCAGATGGGGTAGTCCGGGAAGGAGTCGACGCCGAGGGACGCGACGAGGTCCGCGCGCTGCCGCTGGCGGAGCGCCTCGACGCGCTGCGCCAGCGCCGCGAACGCGACGAGCTCGTCGTCGCCCTCGGGCGGCGCGGCGAGCGCCGGCAGGGGCTCGTCGACGCCGGCGTCGCGCCGCGCGTCGAGCGTCGCCGCGAGCGCGTAGATCTTCGCCTGGTCGAGCACCTTGCGGCGGAGACGCTTGTCGGAGCCGAGGCGGCGGCTCACGGCGTTCCACTCCGACGGCGCGAACCCAAAGGCGTCGAGCACGCGGCTCGAGCCCGCCGCGTACTGCTGGCAGGAGCTCCGCCAGGCGTTGGACCTGCGCGGGGGGGACGCGCGCGGCGTCGCGGACGGCGCGGCGATTCGAACGGCGGACGCGGGCCGACGCGCGAGCCGACGCACTGCGGGTCGCACGCGTTGCACCGCCGCGGGCCCGTGAGCAGGAAGAAGCGCACGCGGCCGATGGCTCGTCGCACGCTCCGGTCGCGCGCCGCGCGGAGCGGCTCCGTCGCCGCGAGCGCCAGGGCGTAGCGGTCCAGCGTCGGGCCGAGGCCGTGGACGTCGACGACCTTCTTCGCCGCCGCGCCGCGCTTGCCGCCGCTAATGGACGAGAAGAGGGATGCCTCCGCGCGCGCCTGCGCGATGAGCGCCGCCGCACATAAGGCGACGATGCGCGCGGCCATCGTCTGCAACAGCCTTCAAGAACGGCGCCTCGCTCCGAGGAGCATGGTGCCATCGCTTGGCGCGACGCCAGGGTCGAATAGCCCGTGGTGAACACACATGGCGGCGTCGTCGAACGAGCGGCCGGCGTCGGACGAGGCGAAAGCCGCGGAACAGTTCGCGCTCAACGCCGTCGTCGACGTGACCTTGCCGGCGGCGGCGGTCTTCCTGCGGCCGAAGCTGAAAGTGCGCCTGCGCTGCGTGGGCCCGAGCGCCTACGCGCCGGTCTTCGACCCGTTCCACGCCGGCGGCGCCGACGCGCCCGCGGCGCCCGACGCGCCCGCGGCGCCGCCGGCCGCGGAGGAGCCGCCGCCGGCTGC